AGTAGAACACAGCCCCTCGACGATTTTCCTGGAGACTAGGACTGAACGCGGCCTTGCAGACTGTGATTGTGAATAGGTTGGTACAAGGATTCGTGTATTGTTCCCGACGAGGCAGGAGGGTGACTTTCCCTCGTGGTGGTCCCCCTCAGGGTAGGTCTTAAGGAAGAAATTGAATCTCGACTCAAGTTGGTTATATGAATAAAAGGGTCGGGTCTGCCCAAATCCGGACGGAAATGGCCTGTGTGTCTTCACGGCAGATCTGCCAAGTGGAAAGGAATCTCTGCAGCCCGCCACAAAAAAACCGAGAGGTCCGCCGCTTGCCACCTGCCAGATTGCTGTTGTGACGTACTGTTGTGACGTGGCCATACCGCATGGAGAGCTATCGCTCCTGAGGAGCACACACCAAACCCGTACAATGGCCTCCGTGCGGTACTGACACTATGTCTGTGCATGTGAGACTTTGAATCGAGCCTCGTCCGACGGAAAGCCACTAATTCGTCTGCGAAGTTGAGGTTCGACAACGCACGGGAGACTGTCCCACAGACCAAAAATACCCCCCGCACGTTTTTTTTCGGCGGCAGTCACGTGCAACAGCGATGCGCAGTCACCCTTCCTTTGTTTCGGCTTTGAGTTGCTCTCGCTCTCCTCTGTGCTCGGTGGTGTGCGACAGTTGATGGACTTTGTGTGGATGCGGGTACGTGGGCACGCGCCGTGTAATGCGAGTAGACCGCCTTTCGCCAAGTTGGGTCCCGGTTCACCAAAATCGGGATCTGATTAAATCATTTTACCTCTTTTCAAATCCCGACTTGAGTTTGGGTGGTCCCGTTTTGAGTCCTACAGAGGAGAACAGCGGAAGAACTTTTTGCCAAATCAAAAACCGAGTTCATTCGATCTTCCGGTCTTACAACCGAATCTGAATGTGATTCCGAGATGCGAATGTTACGTTAAGACCAGCCCTCACTTGATCATGCCTTCACATACCGTCGCGACAGTATTTTTGAAAAAAACAAATGGTAGCATGAAACAACGATACTCATGATGACTCGTCGGGTCACGTCGATGGCTGCAGACTTTTCGTTTTGTTTTGAGATCATGCAACATTTCTTGGCAAGGTTTTATCCAGGGAACCCGTAATACCACTACGTTTGTCCCCCATGTACCACCACGGAGCACCCTCTGAACGTCCCCGCATTCACATCACGTAAGACACCTGTTGTTGCGACTCTGCTGGCGCGCATGAAACACGCTTGACGGCCGCGTCCCGATTTACTGAGAATCTCTTCTCCTTTGGCCGCCTCATGATGCTATTGGGGCCGTTGTACTAGACAGCCTCAGCAGTGTGCGTGTACGTGCGCGTGCGTGTGGTGGCCGATCCGACCTCTTACTTCCTCTCACATGTGCTATCACCAAAGTCGGATATCTCACGAAAGGCGTGTTTCTCGAAAAAACAAAAAACCTGTTGACGGGGAGTGAGCAGAGGAAGAGTTTGCAGCGCTCTATTTTATTGTCGAACCCAATCAAGAGGGCCTTTCAGGTCCCGTTGGTGATAGATAATCTAAACAACTTCGAGTATTTTCCAAACAACAATACTCTAAGCAAAACCCGAGGTCTGTTCACATCCGTTGAGATTCTCGAAATCGGCAAACAACACCACCCACACGAAAGCAATCACGTTTACAAGGAAATAGAATATTAACATTGACCTGCGCCTTGAGACAGGGCGTTTGCTGGTGTTTTGGTGCTTTAGAACAACCACCTCTCAACCCCGAGAAAAGTGCACCTTCGTGCTGGGGAAATAATGGACAAATTATTGTGCATGGACAATAGTGTGGTATCTTAGCCTATGCCCGCCACCCGACACTTGTGAAGCGTCCCCACGGCATGATGGGACGTGTTCCAACAAAGGAAGGGGCATCTATGTCGTGGACATCGGCTGTTTCTCTTTCGCGGGGGATCATACCAAATAAGCCGACACGTCGTCAAACAGCAAACACGAGGAGAAGAACAGTTCGATCGCGTTAGAAGCGCTGTAGGAAATTTGAGAAATATGTACCACACAGACATAAGCCACACGCTCCCTTCATGACACCCTCTCCAAAGAGACAACGGAGAGCACAAACCGTTCACGCTATTTCTACCGCTTTTGCTGCTGTTATGTCTACATGCAAGCGAAAACGCGAACTCAAGTTTTGGGAACGACGCAGGCAAAGGAAAGCAAAAAAAGGAATCACAATGAGGTTGTTCAGAAGGCGGTACCTTTGATCTCGGCGACATGCGAAGCCCGCCCGGTAAAGCCAGACAATCAGCACGACCGTGTTGCATGTGTCCACAATTTACCCGCAATGCCAACGTACTTGCGCACAATCGTGGTGTACTGATGCAGTTTTTACGGCCTTTGAAAACACACTGTAAATCACGGAGAAGGCCGAGTAGGGAGATAGCTTGGGCGCTCATTGTGACATAATATACCAAAAGACGAATCAAGGAAGATACATATTTGAACGAACTTGGTATGGTTTTGTATGGCTTGGACACGTGGATCTCACCTGTTAGATATCCCGCGTGCCGGCCGTGCTCGCGTCCCATCCAGCCCTGAACGAATTGGCACTTTGCGTAAGAAGCACCGCTCGCCAACCGACGGTCGTATACCACCTGAGCTCGACGCCGTCGAAAGTCTTGGCGTACTTCTCCACACGCACCCGTCATCCAACTAAGATATAGACGATTGGGCGTGGATTGCAAAATGTTGCGCCATTTGCTTGTATATTCCCAGCCGGATTGCTCGTGTTCTCGTACTGTAGCCGGAAAACCGTGGGCGTAACTACGTGTGCACGGAACCTCATAGGATAGAATCACAGCCAGGCCTAGGGCCCATGGATGTATTTCCAAGGCTGAAGAACACTCAAATGGGCAACCTGCCGCACACACAAGAGAAGAAAGAGAGTTGGGCGTGCGTGAAACTGCCGCACACACTAAGAGAGACATTTTGAGCGTGTGTGAAAAACAAATATCCACAGCAGTGTGGGTCGGCACACGTGAACCCAATCATGTACCAATCATCTTCTCCATACAATTCTCGGCGATCCTCAGATTTCTACCCTTCCTTCTGGTTGTCAAACGGCGGACAGGAAAAAGTACTCGATGCCGTCCCAGATATATTCAGGCACCTAGAAAATACCCTGAGGGCTCCACCGATAAATTACCTGTATCAGAGTAAGGCAAAAAGGCTCAAAGCTCACCTTTGTTAGGCCACTGTCAAACACCAAGGATACTGTCAAAATACGCCTGCTGCCGACCCAACGGCGGGCGATCGTGTCATGGTGCTGTTGTCAAGGTTTACCTGCTGAGCAAACCCACACACGACAGCAGCACTAAATGGACCACAATTAATTACATGTAGAATGCACCGCGGAAAAAATTCATGCCCTACAATGTACGAAATATCCCCCTGAACTTACCGCCGGTTGTGGTAGCGATGACAGCGGACATACTGTAATGTCCATCCATCATCGTAAGGGATTTAGGATTTTGAGGACTTTCCCGTCTCGTGCCTCCTGCTTGCTTCGACCGTCCCCTACATGTAGATCTCGTTGATGGATCGGTGCTGCGTTGACATCCTGCTGATACCGCCGGCGCCGAAGCTGCCACCGCCGCTGCCGCGAATGAAGTCGGTGGATGTGGTGTGCTCGCCGTTGCCCCGCGACCACTACCGTATGCTACAAGGACCGTCCTCACGATCTCTGCTGTTTCTGCTGTTGCCGTGTCATTCCGCCCCCGAGGGATAGAACGTTGGCGGGATGACGCGAAATATGCTGCTGGTGATCTTCCCCGAGTTGTTCGCGGATTTTCAGCTGACGCGGTTCCCCCCGTTCAGCCCTCTCTTCAACGCTGTCACCTCGATGGTACTGCCCATTGGACGGCCTCGCCTTGAGCGAAGCTCGGTGTAGGGGGTCGGCATGGGGACCGGTCCCTTTGCTTCCACGACAGCCACTAGACTAATCCATAGCAACGTCAACAGTGCCGGTATGTATCATGATGTTGCCGCGGTCTGCGCGATAGCTGACATCGTTGGATAAAGATACACGAGCAGCGCTGGCACGTAGGCCTTGGCCACAGACCATGGGTGCACAGCGTGGACAAGCTGGTACATGAACATACCGTAAATAGTCGCTTGGTCGCAGCTGTAAGCGCCAGGCTCAGCGGCACGGAGGGCGCTGGTCGTTACGTCGGCTGCTGTGATCTTGGAGTAGATTTCAGAGTATCGCATATCACCTCTCGGCCTCTGGGCTGCCTGACGCAGACGGAGCCCGCGCACGGACTGCTTCTATCGTCCATGTGGATCGCAGGACTGCTTGTACCCTCCATGTCGGTCGCAGGCTACAACAAATGAAACCAGCCACCGGTTTATTAGAGTGTACAGTAGCAGCCACGCCATAATGGATGGTGCATCGATGCTGCCGTGGGCGTATCGCTTTGTGGTACTTGTCCACTTCTCCAGCTGGTTCTCTCTGGTACAGTACGGTGCAATGTTGGTGACCTCTCTCTCTCTCGCTCTCCAGCGCGGTGCGGTGTGTCTGTGTGTTCTGCGGCGATGGAGTCCCCGCTCGCCTCTGGTTGGTGCGGTTCCATGTGTGCCGTGTTGCAACGGCGCATCACCAGCAGGTTCTGTCCACCTTGCTCGTGTGCGACCCCGGCTGATACGCCACAGCACACGCCATATTGCAGAACGGCGCCGGGATAAGACGGGACACAACTTTGCTACACAACCATCGCAGCAGTCCAACCAGTCCAACACACCAACGTTAAACAGGGTCTAAACTCCGTTGTTCCGGTTCGGGGCGGCGTGATTGCTCCGCGCACGCTCCCCGTTCCCCGTCCCGTTCCCTGCCCGTTCCCCACTCGTCGCTCGCCGCTTTCCGTCGCTCCTTGAACTACAGTCTGCCACATTCGGACTCCGGACCCTCGGACGTCGGACGCCCTCTCCCTTCCGCACTCCACACATGATCGAGAACAGCAGCCGCGAGCCCTCGTGTGCTTCAAGGTGTGTCGAAAGGCACTCAGCCGCGTGATGTATGTGGTGGTTGCTTTCGATTATTGCCTCTCTTTACGGAGTGCTGTAGATTGTACCACAGCAGTAGCTGATTAGACTATCCTGCTCGCACGTAATCAATAGTGCAACCCACCAGTTATCTGGGGTGTAGACTACTAGTGCAACAACAAGGTATGAAGGCGTGGGCGTGTGAGCCCTCACTTGATCCGAGGGCAAAACCTGTTACTCATGGACGACCAGTATAACTAAGACGCCAGTCTATCTTCAACATCTCTTTCCACAACATGTTGACCTCTGGTGCATTGATTGGCAGACGGCATGTGAGAAGCAATGTGCAGAGTGTTCCAAGACCGTTTCTTGAGTTGGTGTTCACATCACACATCCCCCGCTTAGATGATCTGCTGCTTCTTGTGGATCGCACTTGGCACCTCCTCGCGCAGCATCAACTCCCCTCGCAAGGACGGCTTGGGCTCGCAGATCTCCTCTACTAGATAGGGCGGGGAAAATGAACCGCGGGGTAGCCGACTCAATACCTCGTAGTAGTGTATCTGCGATGCTTTGGCGCTGCGAGTGCACCTGATCGTTTTTTGAATCCGAGTCATCATCGACAAATAAAAAGAGTCTCTTCCTCCTCTGCAACAAACGGACGGTCGTTGGGATTCGTGCGCATACAGCAGTATTCCGAAGATGACACAAGATGCCACACCCTGGACCAACTTCCAAAGCTCGGTTGCTCCACACCACAAAGAGTGACGGTGCCGAAAATGGTGGTGTGTGAACCACCTCGTCGAGAGCTTTCCGACAACGACTCGCTGGGTTTACGCATCCTCTTCGTCGTGGAAACTCTAGATTAATAATTTCGATACAGGGGGTGTGGTATCTTACGGGCGGTAGACAGACCTGTGTCCCATACGTGCGTTCATATCGATTTGGTCTTTCGATGGTTTCTCTCCACAGAGTATCGTAGCAGCACTTGCAAAGCTATTCCCCGCGACCTGTGTTGTGTGGTGATTGATGCAGACCAGGAGGATGTGGGACGTTCACAGAAATTGCGAGCCCGAGAGTCTGGGACAGCCTGCAACAACCCCGCCGCGTTCTGATGGGATTAGTTTGTATGTTTTTTCCCCAGGCCAAGGTTTAGTTTGCCAATGATCCCTCTCCACACACCGAAGCGACTGCAATGACAGTGGCATCCGCCGCTAGCTCCGTGTATGGCTCCCTTCCCCTGCCAGTCAGTTGTTTGCCACTCCCGGCGGTGTTGCGTGTTTCGCTGAGTGCTTCCTCTGTTTCTCCTGGTGCGAACCAATCAACCGCGTGCGTCTGGGTGGGAGATCTACGATGCGTTGGCTTGCATTTCCTCTACAACTCTGTGGGGATCGGGGTGAATATCTCCTATTATTTTTGGGTACAAATGCCGGTGAAGCACGGCGATCTGCTGTCGAGCCACGACCAAACCAGTGTGGTGAAGAGCGCCCTATTTTTCTTGTTCCTCACAAGTCGGCAGATCGTCCATCGGTGCTCAATAGACCTCGTGCTGGTCGTCTGTTGAAACTTGGGCCCCTGGTAGATTGAGCCTGTTTTTACCTTCCTCAGACGGAGGGAAAAGAACGGTCGCTCTTCAACCTCCGCGGCTCATAAAAACAGGAACATGCCTTCCATGTCTTGGTTTTTCATAATCTAACTCAAGTACGAATCTACCATGGCGCCAAAACCGTCCGCGGACGTCACGAGTGTACAATGCACATAGCTAGGATTATAACCCTTGGTCTTCACAACAGATGTGCGGTCTTCGAGTTTGAAATGGTCCTTTGTTGGTCGAGTTCGTGCAGTACTGTACGAGCAGGATCTTGGATGATGCTGTCAGATCCGATTTTCGAGCGCTGCAAGCGCCTTTTCTTGTGGCTTTACCTATACGCATTTGACCCCAGGCCTTCAGATCGACTACGGCCACGAGTAGGAGGTGTGAAGGAAGAGCTGCCACGAAGTCGGGGGTCGCACGCACACTGGAGATTGAAGTAGATATTCTCAAGCCATAGTTTTTTCGGTTGGCTCTGCGACCTTGTGTGAGGCGCGTGCGTAGGAAGTGCCTCGTGCTTACACAGAGGAAGCTTGATGATTTTTGGTTGAATTGTTACGTAACTTGTCCACCGTGGTAAAGGGGTCATTCCCAGCGAACAACTATTTTCATGCGGTTTGTTTATTCAACGCGTATCTCACCTTTCTCGCCTACATTCAGCAGGAGCGACATGAGTGTGACCCCCGAACGCGAGAAGAGACGTGGAGGTTGTGCACAAACGCCACCAAAAGATGTAACACAAGCTGCCGCGGTAAGAGCACCGGGACGTGCTTCAGCGGTTGAAGCGGTCGAACCGTCCGCAGAAGCGCCCATCATCCCGTCAAACGCCCCATCAAGCGTTATGAGTCAACGGGACCCACCAGGTGAGTTATAGACGTTTGTGCGTGCGTCCTCGTCACCACGTTTGGTGGGGGGAAATGGTTTTGGTCATGATTTCTCCTTTGTTGTTTTTAAACACCAGCAGCACGTGCACATCAGAACTGAAAACCTTCATGTCCAGGCCAGCATGGTTGGGACACACAAAACCGAAAACCCATCCCTCGATCAGAACCGCCACCGGGACTTTCGTGCTTTGCCAAAGCATGGAGAGACCGATATCGATCCTCACAGAATTGACGGTTTTCGTGGTATCTATCACCTGCTGTATGTCGGACTAGTTTGCCACCTTCTGCACGGCGCCGGCATCGATTTACGACGACACGGGTTATTCCTGCTGCGCTGTCGATCTTCCCTACCCCTGGGCAGCCGAGTGTCCGGCTGAATGATTTGTGCTTGTTGGATGTCTTGGTCTTGGTCTTGATCACGTTGTTCCTCGAACTACAAGCACGCCGTTGGTACGTCGATACCTGACCCGGCTCCCCTGTTGGAGAACTACGTCAAGTATGCTGCAGCCATTCCTGTACTTCGTTCTTTTTCCGGTATATATTTGTCGATGGGTTGTTCAAATCACCTATGTCGGAGTAAATCATGTGGTTTCTGGCATGCATGTGAGCGAAACGTAAACGGTGTTCTTGTGGGACTCTTCTACATTGCAAAAAATAGCACATTCAACGAAAACGCTCATTCCAGCCGTGTGCTATTAGCTGATGCTTCCCAAACTGTCTACTGCAGCACTGTTACGATTTTTGCCTTTCTGAAGTTCTTGTCGTTGTTTCATCTACATTTCTCCGCGTCGTGTTGTTCAAATACCTGTTGCTTGAAGGGTTGTAGTTTGCCGACTGTGTTCTCACCTTACGCTCGAACTGCGCAGAGTATCGTCACTGCCCTTTTGTCCTCCAAAAATACCTCCAGCTGCCGAACTCTAGACTGACGAAGAAAACCATGCCCGAATCTATTTATTCTACACTACCAACCCACAACCACCGAGTCAAGTGTCACGTCAACGGCCTACGTCATCTACACCTACCTCTCGTTGTCGTCGACATGCCGGCAGATCGCAGCCGATGCCTGGACGCCTTGATCGTCGCCCTCACCAATGCCGGCGACGGGCAGGGGTGGTACACGCCGACGACACAGCTCCAACTCGCGTCGCTCGACTTCTGCACCGCGTGCCGAGCCGTCCCGACGGTGCACCTCACCGTCGACGGAGACGTGCCGGCCCGCCTCAAAGCCGGCATCGACAACGGCGGCGCGTCGCGCGTGCCGGCCTTTCGGCCCCGTTGCGTCACGTGGAACAAGCCGATCGCCGCGCTCAGGGGGGAAGACGACGTGTTCGCCGACGTGCGGGTCTTGGTCCTGGGCCACGGCCTGGGTCGAGTTGGCGTGCGCTTCAACCGCTGGGTGGACGGGCTCCAGCTGCCGCCGGCGCTGCAAGACCTCACGTTCGGGCAGTGGTACGACCGACCTATCCACAAGGTTTCTTGGCCGGCGACGCTGAGACGGATAACTTTCGGCGAGGCGTTCAACCAGCCTGTCGACAGGGTGTCGTTTCCGGAGTCCCTGGAGGAGCTTACGTTCGGCATTTACTTCAATCAGCCGATCAGCAGGGTCCAGTTCCCTTCATCGATTCAGTATCTCACATTTGGGGACGAGTTCAACCAGCCAATTGAGGACATATCGTGGCCGGTGTCGCTGCGAGAGCTTTCCTTTGGTTGGCGTTTCAACCAACCGATTGACAGCGTATCTTGGCCTCCGCGTCTCCAAGCGCTCACCTTCAGCCGAGACTTTCAAGCGACGATAGACCACATCGAGTGGCCAGACTATCTGAAGCGGCTCACAATCGCCCGTCCCGTCGGCACTCCGCTCCCGACATGGCCCGGCGTCGACGTGCATCGCATGTGGCGGCACTGGTGGACACTGCCAAGCCCAGCCGTTTGAAGGGTGGAGATATTTTGTTTGTCACTGGGTTGGGTGCGGCCCTGGGGAAGCACCAACAATGTCGGTGTAGTCTATGACGGTGGCTGGTGCAGTGCTGACGGTGGCTGGTGCGGTGCTTTCATTGCTTGCGACTGTTTGCGATATTTGCAATCAACCCTTTGTTTGCGATTGGTTTGTGTGTTTCGGACGGGAAGTTGCTGAGCGAGAAGCTCCAGCAGTCCCTCGTGATGGCGGCGGCCAAATTGGAATATCATTACTTCAAAATGAGCTAGAGACTCAGGTCGGGGGAACCTGGCGGTGACCCATGGACCGACCTCGGCCTCGACGTCCGCGCAGCAAAACGAACGCCTCCGAACCGGAGCAAGTGGCAAACCAGGTGATGGCGGGGCGGCGGAGAGGGGGTGAGCAAGGGCATCATCTACTGCTGTTGGCCACGGCAAGAGAGTGGATATCGCCAGATTCACGAGCAAGAAGCAACGTCGGGGCCACCCCAGCGGAGGGTTAGTAGAGGCCAGCCTCTTTAGAAGGAGTAGATGAAAGAGTAATTAAAGGTTGAATTTTTTCGGGAGCCGTGAGTGCCGAAACGTTGCAAGGGTATGTTTCGTGGGGGAGGTACTCGTGTTTGAGACGTGTGCAGTATTTTTGCGTTCCATCCTCTCTTTCGTGAGTACCATAGCCTGGTATCGGGGTGCACTTCAGGGCGAGTTGTTACTTTCGATGTCAACGAAGACACATCACGATTCGGTTGTGGTATGATATTTTGTATCACTTGAGGGTGATGAAAAGTCGTACAATAGTAGAGGCTCATAGACTATCGCCCATCGGTTTCGAGACAAGATTTGTCAGCTCCTCCAACGGGGCGAGTCGATTCCAGCAATATCGTTCAGCAGTCAATCTACCTCGTGGCATCAGCAGCAGACCTGCGGCAATTAATTGGTATTCCGTTCAACCGTCGGGAAACAGAGTCAATTGCCCCCCGTGGAAGGAGTGCCACATACAATACTACGAACGAATACACTAGAGATAAAATCTCAACAGGCCTTACTCGACCTTTCCACCTATCCGTCCAGTACCCGATGCCTTTGAAACCGTGAGCTCAGAAATACACAGTATGGCCTTTTGCTCCGAATTGAGGTAACGGAAGAAACAACTTCTCGGTAGCATGGGGGGAGGCCGACACCCATCGAAAAAAAAACAACGCGGGGGCAACGTCAGGACACAGCACGCCTCCTGCAAGAGCGGGGAGACGGATTGCAGGCAAATAGTAGCGCCACCCAGCTTCAAAAGACAAGGAACCTCGGCGCCTGCAGGTACGATACTTGTCATGACTACGTTTCCCATGCATCCGACAGATCGTGTCGCTGGCACGGCTAGGCACGCCTTGCAGAAACTCGCATGTTCGTATTCCTGTTCAATTCAAACGGACTCCATCCACTATCAATCATTCTTCAACCCACGGTTTTCGCCATGATCTGCGCCAACGAAAAAAAAAAAGACAGGGCCTATGATATACGCCACTTCGCAACCCCGTGCTCTGCCGACATGCTCAGGCGGGACTCTCGGCGGCTAGGCAACCACGCCCGCCCCTAAACCAAGCTCGTTCTTGGAGTGCTTTCCACTCCAGTCACATGGAAAATCTGCATGACGTAATAGAAAAACAACTGACGCTAACTTCAGATACCTGAGAGACTCACCGAAGAGCGGACAGACACAAAATCGAAAACGTGTTGTAGTAGCTGCGGACAACGAGGTGGCCTCTATCGGCATCGACCACTCCCGCTCCTTGGCATCAACCACTCCCGCTCCTTGAGAACGTTAGCATCCACTTCTGTACGCTTCGGTCTGCCTCGAACGTAGTTCGCTATGACAGCAGACGTAAGGCCGAGGCCTTCGCCAGTTCCCCCCTCCTTGGTTTTCAGCAAATGCTTCACGGCATTCTGGTCCGCACCTCCCCTTCTTACCAGGTCTCGCAACACAAATGGGCTACGAAAGTTGTGGATGGTAAGCCGTGCACACTGATGCATTATTTACTACCCCAGCATCTAACTTGATAAGGCCGCATTCGAACGCGAGTCCGTCCACTGTTGAACGTTTTCATTTCGAATCCACACCATCCCCCCTCTCCCGTCCGCTACACGCTTCATCTTGTCCCTGAAGTCTACGTAGCCATCACCATCCCTGGCGTTCTTGAGCCTGTCCATTTGCTCCTTGTCCATGAACTTCTTCAGCGCTTCATACGAGGCCCTTGTATCCTTTCGCATGTCGGCGCCGACATCCTCCTCACCCGAGACAATCCGAAGCAGCGCATCCTCGTCGAGGGTTGGGTCGACCAGCTCACCGACCAACCCGTCCTTCACGTCCTTCAGGAAATCCGAGAGATCAACGTCCAGTCCTGACGTTGCTTTGAGCGCCACCTTGGCCGTCACCAATGCCACCTTGGGAGAGAGAAAACACACAAAAGGACGACACAGAAACGCACGCCAGGACATTATTTCTCACCCTTCAAGCCATCACACCTACAACCCGGCCCCTGTGTTCAAGGCCTTCAAACGAACACTATTGTTGGGGGAGTAATATATTTTCGGATTTCGACCTTAGCTAGGAACGGAGGGAGTCTGAAATACAATAGTGTTCATGTGGACCATCTCCGACCTGCCACTGTTGACATCCTTGTTTTACCTGCAGCACAGGCGATATCTTCTTGACCCAGCCACGTGTCTCCCGAAACCGATAGCCTTTACCGCCATAGCCGCACGGCACCTTGGTCATGTCGACCGGGCACAAGAAGTGCAGCGTCATGTCCTTCCCCACGCCACGAACCTTGTGCAGCATGCTCTTCATCCCACGAGCCCCCGACGGAGTGCCGTCAGCTCCAGTTTCCTCCACGGCCACAAGGCCCGGGTAAAGGTAATTCGGAGCCTGCAAGTTCTTGAGACGCATGAGGCTTTCCTGGGTGGTCTCGAGCACGGTATCCAGCCTTCCCTTCAGCTTGCTCAACCCCCCCATCACCTCGTGTTGCACGTCACCCAAGCCGGCCTTAATCTCGTCGACCCCTCTCTCTACTTCGCCCTTCACGACACCCCACTCGGCCTTGGTCTCGTCAGCTCCTCTCTCTATTTCGCCCTTCACCTCGCCCAACCCGGCCTTGGTCTCGGCAAACCCTCCGTTTACGGCTATGGTCACTTCGTTGATCTTTCGAATCAGTAAGTCCTCCTCCTTGGAGCTACCCTGTGAACAGAAGGGACAAAAATGGCGCAGAGATTGGAAAAACGTAACAGATATGCATAAAACTCGAGCAACTGCACACCCTCTTCCGCCCCCAACCAATGTGTAATCAACAATACTTCATCACACGTTGTGGCCTACACGGGAGAAGAACGGAGGTTCTGTGGACTAGGTCAGGCAAGTGTGTGCTTTAGGAAGGCCGAGTGTGAACTGGGGCGTTTGGATGCTCGTCGGATAGCTTGATGTTGTACTGCAGTTCCTACCCGCCGTGTTTTCGGGGGGAGTTCTCGTATCGTACACTTGGGTAGAATAACCACGCTCCTAACGTTACCGAGAAGAACAGCCAAATACAAGGTAAGAAGGAGGTTTCCTCTCATCCTTGCCTGTGCTATGAACTGCTTCCTGTCTTTCCTACATAAGGTTGAGCCAATGAAGACACCAACCGCGCAACAAAATCACCATCTATGTTGGGACCCGTCGTCAGCGGACAACGCGCAGGGTCATGACCGGTGCGTTTGTTCGGGTGGAAAACGCTGGCGAACATTCAACGTCAATTGTACCAATCGGATGCTGCAAACGATTGTTACAATCGTGCCGTTCACCATCAACCCAGTCCCCGCATCTCACAAGCGACGACAATACAACACCCCGCAACGTCTGGCGATACACAGCATAGTCGTAAGGGTCGTACGCTGCTGAAGAAGTCCAGAAGTTGAGTGGGTCGACTTGCTTCCCACTGAACACATGTGGCGAAAATCAGCCCAACATCATGCAGACTATTCTCACCACCGGGGAAGGGAACACGTACTGACCCTCCAGCTCGACAAACCTCTCCTTCACCTCGCGGAAAATCACGTCTGCGTCAACAACACGGGCGGTGGAAATTGCTCAGCAACAACCGCATGTCTACTTTCACGCGCGCCGTATTGCCTGCGTTTGCCCTACATGAGTCGGCAACGAGGTGTGCGATGACAACGGTCCGACTCGGAATGGGCTGGGGGTCCGACGACATGCACGTGAATGCAACTGTTGCGACTCTTGCGAAAATATTCAACAAGGTCGTATGTCCGTTAGTCAACCCTGATGGCGACCCCACAAGGGCGGTGCAGACAACCCAACACAAGTACAAGTACCTCGCGAGGTCATTCTACAAATGGGTACGGTTTTTCACTGGGCCAACAGGCTGAAACACCGGAGATGTAGCGTTCAGCGGTCAACACGATCGTACAATGACGCCCAATTCATTCAATACACACCTGTAGCCGAAACTGTGCGGGCGACAGCGCAGGTTGGAGCCATTGCACAGGGTTGCAAAAAATATCAAGCGCGACATGACATTGTGTACGACAGGTTTTCGCACAGGGGTTGGAGGGTTGCGACGAATCCGGCAAACACAGTTTCGGGCTTGAGCTTTCGTGTCAACGCTGAGCTGTCGCGGTTTGTTGCAGTGCCTTGTGGATGTCTGGTGTTTCGCTAGCCGGGCGCCGCTGCTATACGTAGTACACAGACGTAAGAATGACATCGATTTTTTTTTTGGATCGGTGAACGAAAGGTGGCCACCAACCCAAGCACCCAAGAAATACAGTAAACATGCCGCAACCGAAAATCAAACGAACAGCCCAGACCAAGCTGGAAGAGAAACTGGTCATTTTCAGCAGACTATTGAGTCGTTGTTTGTGCCTTCCACACTGTCACCACCAAGCTCGCAACCATTGCCAGCTACCACCCGCTGCTCTCCACGGCACTTAAGGGACGTTGGGGTTCTCCGATTCTCTGTGTGTTCGTGTTTTGTGTATTGCTTTCTTGCTGGATGAACACACGTACTTAGCTGTGCCTCCGCTGTGATGTACGATTCAACATTACCTATGGTCCAATTCCGCAAGGAGTAAAAACAAAACGCTGGTACCGCTGCTACGATTTGCTTCAGTATCGCACACACCCGAGCTCCTGCACGGGGTTTTGCATGAGAACATCGACACAAAATGGGCCGGAGCGACGGCAGAAGTCGGTGTACTTGTCGCAAGGGTGCACAAAACAAACCGCCAGGTAGATATGGTGCATGGAAAAAAATCAACCACACGCCTTGCATTCACTCGCACTGTTGCGGCACTCCAACCTCCCCACTGGTCGTGCATACCTCGGTCCAGTCGCACGTTGACCATGCGCACGAGGTCGATAGCTGCGGCTCCAAGTGCCCTGGTGTCGGCACTGCACTGTTGGCATCTACTGCCTGCCAGAAATTTGTCTCCAGCGCGAGTCACCTGATGAGTGATTTCGGGTTCGTTCATGAGTGTTTGCCGAAATCAGGGGCACCTTAGAGCAATCTCGACCAGAGTATAGCCACAGAAACCTAGGTGCATGTTCCTTGGGATATTGTTTAGAATCCCAAAACCTAGAGCCTAAAGGTAGACATGGCAGCGAAGACACACAAGTTTCCCGAAATATCGCGAAGAATGCGCGCAGATATCAAATCATACGAAAAGTGGATAGTAGAATCACAAGAACAACACCATCAACGCCTTTCCGAAAAGTCCAAAGGGCAACGATACCAGCTCCAGAAAACACCAACATAGTGCTACAACCTGACAGCACAAAACCTGGCCCAAATATCGCGTCTCACGCGAGCTAGTTCAAGCTTTCAATACTGCCTCGAAAGCGTGCGCCTCGAGGGCTCCCCACGGGAACAATACCACACATAAAACATCACTTTCCCCTCAAGGTGTAGTCACAAACTCAGCCGCACATGACGACAGAGGGACCACGATCAAATATGAACAATTATAATAGATTCAAGTGCTGGTTGGACGCACAAATTAAGTCAACGGTAAAATGACGGTAAGTGGCAGATTGAGCCACGACATCTTGCATTTCAAGCGATCACAAAGTGTACCCCTGCCCTACTCGAACACCCATGGGTCTCAACACCAATGTCGCGGCTGATGGCTATACCTTGTTGGTCAGGAGGATCGTGTCGCCATGCTGAGGACACTTCAGAGAGCCTCTCCACCGCAGTCCTGGGAAATCCAGCAGCATCAAACTCACGGCAGACATGACGTACGAAAGCGCCACCCACGCAGCTGAAAAGCTGGTATCACCGAAAATCTGGGCAGTGAGCCCGTTCTCGGCGGACGAGTACTCCAAGACCGCAGCAAATATCCCGTATCCATCTTCGTCACCCAGGCCGCCATGCACAAGCACCCCATTCCGCCAGAATATTTGAACGCCCCCAAGACTGCAGCACCGTGTCAACACCTTCTCAATCGCGCCAGGCGGTACACCGAGGAAAATCTTCCACGTGGCGTTGAATGCCGGTGTTTGATCCAAGCAGAACGTGTAGATCACTTTGCCCACGCGCTCCGGGCGGTCTGGTTTTAGCCGTAGCAGGACTACCAGGCCCCCAGTAGGATCGTTTTCGAGCGGAAATGTGAGGCCCAATGATGCAAGAGTGGGGAGAACGTACTCGGACAGACCATCAGGCCACATGCAATACGCCAATCTGGGTTCCAAAACACCCTCGTTCTTGTGCCTCCACCACGAAGCGATGTCCAAGGGATCCTCGAGGGTGATCTGCTTGTCGCCCGTGTCCCCGAGATTCACAAAGCCTTCGTAGGTCTCTTCATCCTTGTGGTTAAGCAAGGGCTTGGGGATCCTTGCCAGCCAGACGACGTCCAGAAAGACAAAAGTCTCGTGACGAATAAGGGACCCATCGTACTCCGTGTACAACAGATTGTATGCATGGAGTTAACGAACAATTTAGTCAGAAGAACCACACACCCAAGAGGAGGTCACAAGTCGCGTGGCGCCTTGAGAGAAATGGCGTTGCCACGTCATTTTTGGAACCTGTACGATACTTGGTTCCAGCACACTTGTTCTCTGAGCAATCTCTCTCCAATATTGTGGTGCTCGGCGTAGTCCCGTCCCGGGGCTTCGATTCGCACATTCACAGCAACCGATTTCTCAGTATTTCCCCTTCACTGGCTTGGGTTGAGACGTGCAGCAACGTACCCCTTCTCTAGTACGCCGACAAAATGGTCAACTCTGAACTCTGAAAATTGGGGGGCAGAGGTGGGGGCAGAGGTAGCGCTGAGGTTCTGGCTGAATGATGATGCCGCAAAGAAGAAAGAATGGGCGATTCCGCTTCAGAGATTCAAACGACCTGTCACGGAAAAGGCAGCGTCGAATGCACCGAGGAGTGGTAAAAATACACATGTTTTCCTTCCAATCCACTTATCACCCGCCCAGAGCCAGTTTTGGGTGACCACTCAGAACTTTCTCAGCAACCACACATCAACTTTTCGGCCCAACCGAAAGCATCTCTAGTGATCAGGATGTAGAAGTATGCCTTTACCTGATCGAGAGGGCTCCCTCCAACGCGTTGTCCGCGTTTGTGACTGCGATCCCTCCCTTCGCAAGTCCGTCAACTGTTGCCTGCCATTTGGCATTGAGGTCCTCAACCGCAATTCCCTGATACACGTCTGTGTTGGCTTCGGCCGTATCCGTCAAGTTTTCTCTGTCAGCGCCAGCTAGCGTCTGCAATACCATCTCCACGGGATCTCTGAGCAAGTAACGTCCAGCATTTGCAGGGGTCACAATTCACTGCCAGACGGTGAATTGTCGGGAACAGCACAGCATACCAACGTTCGACGACTGCACCCATACACCGGGATGGTACGGGCGACTCACGAGCACTGTTGAAACAAAAACGTCGAAATAATGACTTCGACCAGGGGAAACTCATGGACAACATAAGGGCATGTAGGGCCCAATATCGAGCTTGTGAAACTGACTGCGTTTTGTCGGCGACTATATAGTTGGAGACTCCTGGATTTCACATCGCTAAAGCCGGTGTATGTAGCTGATTCAGCTTGAGAGATGTCGTCGACACCTTCTCGTCATACCGGAGAAAGGGTTATCCGTCTGTACCATATTTCACTAGCGATTTATCTGGGTGCACGCATGTTGTGCGGTGTTCGCATGAGCCCTTCACCACGTGACGGTGTTGCGGAACGCAAGCGCTTGAACAAACGGGGAGGGTTCAATAATTTTCGCCGCGGCAAGCAGCACAAAACAAGTCGATCAACGCGCGAACCACACGAAGCCTCCCTGATTTCGTCTGCGGTTGAGAGAAAATTGGCGAAATCTCCCCTAGTTGAGATTTTCACCCCCACCCGCCCAACCCGGGAGGGGACGTGAGTTGCGGTTCTATAGTTCACCCTGGTTCGACTAACATACTTACCTGTAAGTCGTTACGGGGTACAAGCATCATCGACTTCACCTTCCAAGCTCGAGAGCTTCCAGAACAGTGAGGGCCATATCCCAGCTGCGAGGAAGAACCATCTGGGCTCCTCGAAGACCGCCTCCATCCAGTTTGTTGACGAGCCGGTGGAGCAAGCTGGGCGAAGAGCTATCGTCTCTATGGTCCCGCCAGTCGCACCCCCATCCCCCCTTCGCATAGTGGTTCCCAGGGCTACTCTCGCCATGCTCGCTAACTGCTGCCGGGCAGCAGCTCGTCAGGCAAACACCGTGCTCCAACCGAACGGGCTGCATGCCATTTCGCACCCAGTTCGAAAGCCACAATCGACAGGCATGCGCCAGTCTCTTGCCCATGTCCCCGGCGTTCCCGCACGCCAAGTCACACTTGGTAGCGACGAGGATGACATCGCTGTAAGGCACGCGGCGAGAGATGGATCGCAGCCAATGGCAAACGCGCAATTCTTCGAGCTTGCGACAGTCTTCCTGAACCTGACCATTGGCTTCGCTACCTAGCCGCTGCTCGAACGCCTCCACGTTGCACACTAGCACGCAAACAGACCGTGGCGTTAGGAACATCTGCAGCAGACCCGTGTAGCCGACCTGCCGAGCGTCCATGTATGCCAGTTGAATGTCCAAATAAATAAACAACATGGTCTCTCATAGTTCAGGAGTGTACCTCCCAGACATTTGTGCACAGTCCCCATCGAAACCTTCTAGGCGCTCCAAGACCCGAACCACCTCCGAATCGACACCACGGAAATGCGTCGCAGGTACCCCCCACCAGACAACACTAGGCATGTCGAAGCCTCCAGCCCATGAGGCGCATGACATAAACCATTGACGGAATATTCTGTATTATCTAAGTTTCAAGTGACATTTTTCAAGTTTGTCTTTAGTTCGTCGTGAGCTACGCGTTGAGACAGTGGTACTCACGCTGTCTGTGGTACTCACTTACCCCTCACGAAAAACAATCAGCTTCACCCCCTACTTTAGCGAAACAAGATGTCTTTGCCCCACTTCCCCTTTGCTCCGGAAAAGGCGTTTACCGTGGCCACTTCGGCTCATTGCTGTCTCGCTCGTGCCAGCTATCCCGAACAAGACGACATGGGACCATAGTCGCACTGGGTCCTCTCCACCAGGGCGCTCTCAACACGCAAACGAGCGGGCGCTTAAGGAAGACCCGCAAGGGTGTGCGCCGAAAGCGGCGAGATTGGTAAATGTTTGTTCGAGGCTGGCCAAAGCAACCCACCAAAATGGCGTCGGCAGCTTTTCCGTCGCCGTCGCGGCCAATTGAGCACAAACGCAAAAACAAACCTGAAGCAAGTACCGAGACGAACACGAAACTCGGTGCATCCCGAAACCCCAACATGTTGATGCAACTTGCTATACACAACCCCGGTGATACGTGTGATGACAGGCCGGTGGTGGAGCGTTACATTTATTGTGGATATGATACTATGCACCAGAGCCCTAACGTTTCAGGGTTGTGTGGGAGAACATTCCTTGGGGAGGACAGACAGGAAAACATTTTGAGTGGAAGGGTAAGAGTGCACCGCAAGAAATATATGCTTCATGGATAATATTCTCCCATCGGGCGCACAGCGGGTGATGTTGGGCAGCGGCCTCTAGCACCGCCTCAATCAAGCGATTACAACTCCAATCAGCATCAACAATGACTTGTTACCTGTCCAGCACAATCGTAAACCCGCACGGATGAGCCTTCTAGCTCCATGGGTTGCACGTCTGCAAAGACCGTGCTCTCCTCCTTCCACTCGCCCGTGGGAGTTGCTTCATTGGCCTTCATGCTCTGGCGCAAGCTGCATGAAAGAGACGCGAGTGTCCAACAATGGACAACACGCACGATAGAGGGTATATCGGGATTGGGTGATCAGGCGTACAGCGGTACATGTTATTCGCCGAAATCGCTGACACAGTCGTTTTTGATGTTGGGACAAAAAAATCGTAACGGAGCACGAAATCACGAAGCACGCAAGAACATCGCGTTTGAACCACAATGCGTTGCAGCCAAATATCCTTGCATGCTTGAGCCCGTCTAGTTCTGCGGGTCTTTGGCTCTCGCCCCTTTGCTCAATCGTGGCGTTAAAAAAGACGTAGGAACGTAATTGCTCACGGGGCAACATCAACCCAAAGCTAGTCGCTGCCGCGTGTTGCCATGCCTGTAAAATGAGTAGGCCCTCCAAAATCAACAGCCGCGACTCACTAACCTCGTCTTCCCTGCGCCTTCCTGCCCGACAAGAACAACCTTGACGCTGCGGCGCTGGACGCGACAGGGTTCAGCATACAGGTCTTCGAAATAGCCTCTGATGCTTTCCATGCCTTTGGTCACGATGGACTCTGGCGGCTCAGCCCATGGATTACCCCCAAGGTCCGTGTCTGCACCATCTAAGGTTTCAAGTAGGCGGCGCAGCTCACTGGGAATGGTTCCACCTACCGAGTAGTGCAGAGCATGCACATATGGAAGGGGCCTGGTCGTTGTTTTAGCCAGTGACGAGGTATATGATGCTGCCGTGCGATATGCACCCGTTCGCAATTAAACGAGATATGCAAATCCGCGCCAAATATATCTGGCGTCCACCCGTAGCCCCACGATGGTCGTGTAGAGAATGCTGCATGTAGGCATACCTGACATCCTTTTGGCTCTCTCCTGCCCGACATCCTCCGCATTGCATGTGTGATCCCAGAGACCTGACGACCACATCGGGATAGCCAAACAGATGTAAATGCCGACAACCATGTTAGAGAGAGACGTCTGGCCGTTGTACACAGGGGTAGCAAATAGTTGGTTATTGTTAACGCTCGCAGGCATCATCGAGAAGCAAACAGTTCAGCAACTCAGGAACATCATCGCAGTAATTCCCGTAGATGGTGAGGAATTGTCGGCGTGAGCCCACGATGTGCCGTGTGAGGACAAAATACATAGTTGTCCCTGCATCAAAACACAAGCTCTAATTCCAGCATTCATCTGTTGATCAATCTTCCCGCACATGCTAGACCCTTAAAGCATTTCATTCGAGGGCATATGGCTCAGCGCCCGACCATGCCGACAATGGTTTTCTTTGGCACGCTTCCAACCCAATATGTTGAGTCAAATATGGAGCAATAAAGGGGCTACAACTACGTATGTCTACCAGGTGTTGACTCCAAAATCAGGTGAAACGGGACAATGACAACGCAAACTAACGCATTGTGGCGAAACAGATCGACACGTCGCATCTGCAGATTGCCCTGGTTTCTTCATGGCACAACTCAGAACTGACCTGGCGTATGCAAGTAGGTACTACAGAAAGGCGGGAGAAACAATATTTTTGTTCCCCGATAGTGCTTGGGCGGGGCGAACGCTTCTAGAATCGAAAACACTGCACCATAAACACATCTAACTATGTCGATATCTACGCAGGTGCGAGCCCGGCGCAGCTCGGCGTTCTCAACAAGCTGACCTGGCGCAACTTGTCGAACAACTAAATTTAGCTCAGCGGTGAGAGACGATGTAGAATTTTGGATATGTAATGGAATACTTTTTTTTTTCTGGAGAACGCATGTATGCATGTGTCCCGCCCACGTGATGGCGGGGCAGCATCTACGGAGACCGTCTTGGTCTAAATAGAAAATAAAAAATGAGCGTTCAATTGTGCACGATTTCTTCTCACCTGTCAGTTCATTGGTCCCCAGGTCGAGCGTTTTCAGAGCACCAAGGTTCCCCAGCTCAGGGGGAATGGGACCTGCAGCACATGTAATACAATAGTCAAACTTTAGATATTTCAGGGCGTGTGTCCCGCGGCTACTAGAACACGTACAGTATCGATCTCCGATATCGTGTCCCGCACACGTGTGGGTGGGATACATGCTTTGTTTCTAAATGATTCAAGGGACACCGTCCGGCAAGTTCAATAACCAATATAAATGTGCAGTATCTGCCGATTTACCTGTAAGTTTGTTCTTGCTCAGCCCAAGCACCTTCAGGTCAGTGAGCCCCCCCAGCTCATGAGGTATCGGGCCTGTCCAAAGCAGCACAGTGGAACACCGAGAGTGACAAAAAGCATCAAATTTCTAGATTCAGTCCCGCCCATTCGAATCATTTGGAGAAGGATTTGTCCCGCCAAAGCTGTTCCAGCATGAACGGCCTAGTCGCCCCGGGAAGAATGCTCTAGGATGGAAAACACTGCACCACAACACACTCTAACTACATATTTCGATGTCTACGCAGGTGCGATCCCGGCGCAGCTCGGCGCTCGCATCAAGCTAACCTGGCTCAGCCTGTCCAACAACGAGCTCAGCGGTGAGAGACGTGTTGGAATTTGGATTCATACTGGAGTACTTTTTTTTCTGGAGGATATGTATGTGTCCCACCCGCAGCATATGTGGGACTGATCCTGATCCTTTCGTGGGGAAAACCGCGTACCACGCGAACGGTCTGACTCACCGTTGAGTTCGTTTTCCCTGAGATTGAGGCATGTCAACGATGGTAGCTTTCCCAGCCCCGGTGGGATGGGACCTGCAGTGAAAGACGTGTGCAAAACAACGTGTTTTCCCGCAGCTTCTATTGCACCTGCACACCCACGCGTTGGCCAGTAGGCCGTCCATGTTCCAGAAGCTTTGGCGGGACAAGATCTTAAAAACAAATAAGATCATATGATATGAAACTTCTCGATGCTGTATTTCTCTTGCTGTACGTGTGCGGGGTCTATCCCCGAGGCGCTGGGAGCTCTCAGCGCGCTGCAGAAACTGGCGCTCAGCTTCAGCCAGTCTACAGGTAACTTAAGATTCGGCGGACATCTTGGAAAATGATTATCGCGGGGCGCTCGAGAGTACAGTATGTGTCCCACCCACGGACATGCACATGTCGCAGTAAAAATATTTAACATTCAAATTTCACCACCGTCCCTCACCGCTGAGCTGGTTCCCGGACAGGAGAAGCCGCGTAAGCTCCTTGAGAGCGGCGAGCTGAGCGGGGATCGCACCTGAGTAGGTATCGAAGTATTAGAGTTGCGGTGCCGTGTTTTCGATTCTAGAACGTGCGTCCTGCCTGCGCGTGGGCAGGACGCATAAGCGAAGAAAAAAAAACATGTACTGGTAAGCATTATGTGTTGCATAGAACAACGCAAACATTAATTTTGGAACATTCTCACCAGTGAGCTTGTTGCAGACAAGAAACAGGGACGTCAGCTTGGTTAGAGCTCCCAGCTCGTTGGGTATTGGCCCTGGACAAAGCATAAGCAGGACCGCGGGGAAACAAATCAGAAAAATATTGTGGCGTGGAACCTTCTAGAGCGGTGGTCCTGCCAACGCGATGGCGAGGCACACGGTCTACGAAAGAGAACGACAACAAAGGAGAATATATATGATAAATTTGGTGCACTCCTTACCCGTAAGGTCGTTGTTGTTGAGCCTAAGCACCCCCAGCTTGCTCAGGGACCCTAGCTCCTTGGGGATGTATCCTGTTCAGTTCAACAGCAGAAAACTTGAAAAGGTCGCATCACGACGATTTCACATTTCTAGAACACACAACTTCACTCCCTGCCTAGAACATGTATCCCGCGTACGCATCGCCGGGATTCAAGCAACCTGGTGTGACGGGTACACACCGAATCAATGGGAGATTCTTACCGCTGAGTTTGTTTTGGTGGAGATAGAGTGAGTCTAGCTTGGAGACCTGCCCAAGCGACGCCGGGATTTCGCCTGCATGGGGTTTGGGGGATGGGAAGGGTCGTTTGCGTACGTAGGATACATCACAGAAGCTTCACGCGATACTTCATTTTATTGTTGCTGTTGTGTTGTAATGTTGCTTTGTGCACGTTCGATACCCAAGGACCTGGGAGACCTCACAGAGCTGCACAGGCCTTTTCTTAACTCCAACCAGTTCACAGGTATAGGGTGGGGCTGTACATGTTTTTTCATATTTCGAACATATGCTGCTTTTACAACATGTGTCCCGCGTATATATTCTAGAATCGAAAGCACTGCACCACATACACAATCTAACTATTTCGATGTCTACGCAGGTGCGATCCAGGCGCAACTCGGCGCTTTCCACAAGCTAACCTGGCTCAATCTGTCCAACAACCAGCTCGTGGGCAGGACACATGCATATTCTCCAGAACAAGAGAAAGTGCTCCAGTATATATCAAAATTTCAACATCGTCTCTCACCGCTGAGCTGGTTTTTCGACAGGTTGAGGCAGGTTAGCTCGTTCAGAGCGCCGAGCTGCGCCGGGATCGCACCTGCGTAGATATCGAAAAAATTAGATTGTGTTGGGGTGTAATGTTTTCGATTCTAGAAGATTCGTGCCGCCTACGCGTAGCGGCGGGATTCATCCACGGAACCAATTGTAGAAAAACGACCGCCCTAAATGTAGAAGAATAAATCACCTGTGAGCTGGTTGCCGCTGAGCCACAGCGTCTTCAGCTCTCTGAGATTTCCCACCTCCGATGGGATGGGGCCTGCACGCGCAAGGGCAAATACGAATGTAGCGTGGAATTGCAGGAAATCCTCTCGAAGCTTCTAGAACCGGTACTCACCCAGTGGGAGTGTAGGTGGTTTGGCAGCCGGAACAACATGTTGATTTTGACATTGGCTGGACCGTTGTTCTAGAAGCCTCATCATCCGGTCGTGTTATTCTGGTCGTCGCCGTGTGCTGCGTTGTGCAGGGCCAGCACCCAAGGAGCTGGGCGACCTTTCCCACTGGAGGAGCTTTGGTTGAGCGTCAACTAGGTTAGAGTCGAGGTGGACGTTTATTTTCCGAACATGTGTCCCGCGTACGAATCGGCAGAATTGATCAAGAAATCTGGTCGGAAAACTTTGCCTGTGTAGTAACTCACCGCTCAGCTGATTGTTCTGAAGCTCGAGGTGCTGTAGCGCTGACAGGTTTCCCATCTCCGGTGGGATGGGGTCTGCGAGCAGAAGCGCGTTGCGAATTAGCGGGGAACATATACATACTACCAGCTCTCTTTTTCTAAATGATCGATCTCCGTAGATCTTGTCCCGCGTACGCGTTGGCAGGACAATTGTAAGCTGCATCACACGAAATGTGTTTTTTTCATCTCATTCCCCGCTTACTTCGTATTCGCTCATCCTCTTGTAGGCTCCATTCTGCCGGAGCTTGGAGCTCTCAACAAAATACGGATGCTACAGCTCGCCATCAACAACCTCACAAGTACTAGTTTTTTTACGGTTGATAAGGACTGGGTTTCTTGATGAACCACGCAGATGCGTTTGCAGGACACATAAGCGAAGGGAACAAATATCATGAAGTATGTATTATGCGTGCTATTGAACAACGCAAACATTTCTTACCAGTGAACTTGTTGCTGCGAAGAAACAGGGACGCCAGCTTGGTTAAAGCTCCCAGTTCCTTGGGTATCGGTCCTGGACGAAGCAAAAGCAGCACAGCGGGGAAATAAAACCTGCAGTACAGTGTCATGAAGCTCCTACAGTAGAACAGTGGTCCTGCCAACGCGTGGGTGGGAGTTATGCATGCAATACTCCTTTTGTGCGTAAGCGGTGCGAATGTTCTAGAACCGAAAAAACCGCAGAGCAAACTAAATTGCTCAGGCACCTACGCAGGAGCGATCCCCGCTCAGCTCGGCGCTCTCAAGAAGCTAACGTGGCGTGACCTCTCCGACAATGAGCTCAGCGGTGAGAGACGGTGCTGAAATTTGAATCTTGATAGTACATATTGCAACAGAGCAACAAGAGCATGTACCCCGCCCAAGCGTGAGCAGGACACACGTTCTATGGAAATCCATCAACGCAGAAATGTATAAAGGTATGGCAATATGGTTTAACTACCCACCACTTAGTTTGTTGCCCCAAAGGTCCAGCTGCTTAACCGCTCCAAGCTTCCCTACCTCCGGGGGGATAGGACCTGCAAGCAGAAGAGCAAACACGAGAAAAGCAGAGAATTGACCAACATATTTCTCCGCCTACCACCCGCTAGTGGGTGTGGTCTAGAAGACGGAACAACATGGCATCTATTCCCTGACATTGGCAGGACCGTTGTTCTAGAAGCTTCATCACACTACAAGTCTGGTTTGTTTTCGCCCTCTGTGCTGCTTTTGCTTTGTCCAGGGTCAATACCCAAGGGAGGAGCTGGGAGCTCTAACCACGCTGGCGTCCCTGTTTCATCACCGCAACAAGCTCACATGTGAAAAATGTGCCGAAAGGAATGTTTGCGTTCGATACAACAGATAATACTTACTTCTATATTACAGTATTTTCGTCATTGCTTATGTGTTCTGCCAACGCGTCGGCGGGACACATGCATATTCTCCAGAAAAAAAGTATGCCAGTATCCAAATTTCAACATCGTCTCTCACCGCTGAGCTGGTTGTTCGAAAGGTTGAGCGCGGTTAGCTTGTTGAGGTCGCCGAGCTGCGCCGGGATCGCACCTGCGAAGATATCGAAAAAGATAGATTGCGTTTGTGGTACAGTGTTTTCGATTCTAGAACATTCGTCCCGCCTAGGCGTAGGCGGGACCGTGCTCTACAACTCCGGGGATATTTTTTGCTTTACCCCGCTAAGTTACCCTTTTGCTCGTTGATCTACAGGCCACATCCCGCTGGAGCTAGGAGATCTTCGTGCCCTCAAGTACCTCTACCTCTCCTTCAATATAGATGGTGAGTTAAACAGATCGAAAAGCTTTTGTCGTTCTTTCGAGTTCTGAACATGCGTAAATCCCGCGTAGCGTACGCGGGATTAGCCGCACACTTGTACATCGTGACTCACCAGTCAGCTGGTTGCCCGTAAGGTCGAGGCTCTCCAGTGCTGCGAGCTTTCCCAGCTCCGGCGGGATGGGACCTGTACGTGGAATGGCAAACACATTAGCGGGGTAGTGAAAAGGTATGTACCCCGGCTTCTCGAACACACCTACTCTCCCATGAGTTCGTGATAAGGTGTTCTAACAGGTCGGTTTATTCTTCCGAATTCAATAACTGCCTTGCTTTGACTCGCACACCTACAGGACACATCCCACCGCAGCTAGGAGACGTGGACGCCTGGAGTTCCTCGTCCTCGGCAATAACGAGCTAGATGGTGAGTTCGGTAGATGGAACAGTGTTTTTTGTACTTTCTTTGAGCCTCTGTAGAACACGCATAAATCCCGGGGAGGCGTCGGCAGGACACGAAAGTGAAGCCAAACAAATAGAGGTATCATGTAAGGATATGTGTTCAATAGAACAACGCAATCATTCCTTTTGGCACATTTCTCACCAGTGAGCTTGTTGCTCCGCAGAAACAGGGACGTCAGCTTGGTTAGAGCACCCAGCTCTTTGAGTATTGGCCCTGGACAAAGCAAAAGCAGCACAACCGGAAACCAAATCAGAATCTTAGTGTGATGAAGCTTCTACAGTAGAACAGCGGTCCAGCCAACGCGTGGGCGGGATTCATGCAATCTGGTGCGACGGGTACACGCCGAATCTGTCGGAGACACTTACCGCTGAGTTTGTTTTGGTGGAGGTAGAGTGAATCCAGCTTGGAGAGCTGTCCAAGTAACGCCGGAATACAGTATCGCCTGCATGGGGTTTGGGAGATGGGAAAGGTCGTTCGCGCACGACAAATATTCTTGAAGTTTCGCCACGCGATTTCACCACGCCATGCCTCATTTTGTTGTTGCTGTTGTTCCGTTGCTTTGTACAGGGTCGATACCAAAGGAGCTGGGAGCCCTCGCGGAGCTCCACAGGATCTTTCTGAACTCAAATCAGCTTACACGTACAGGTTGGGAGAGTACTTTCATATTTTGTTCCGAACATATGCTGCTTCTACAGCACGTGTCTCTCGTACGCGTGGGCGGGATGCGATCTACGGAGATCGATACTGTACATGTTTAGAGGCCGCGGGACACACATTCTGAACTCTCTTATTTTGCGTGCGCTGCAGGTCCCATTCCCCCTGAGCTGGGGAACCTTGGTGCCCTAAAAACGCTCGACCTGGGAATCAATGAGCTGACGGGTGAGACCAAATCGAGAAAAATTGAAAAATCCCATCATATATTGTTCTAGAACGAGACGGTCTCCGTAGATGATGCTGTCCCGCGCATGCATACGCGTAGGCGGGACGAATGTTCTAGAATCGAAAGCATGCACCAAAACACAATAAAAAAATTTCGATATCTGCGCAGGTGCGATCCCGGCGCAGCTCGGCGCTCTCAACAAGCTCACCTGGCTCAACCTGGCCAACAACCAGCTCGTGGGCGGGACACATGCATATTCTCCAGAAAAAACAAAAAATCTCCAGTATACATCCAAATTTCAACATTGTCTCTCACCGCTGAGCTGGGTTTTCGACAGGTTGAGGCAGGATAGCTCGCTCAGAGCACCGTGCTGCGCCGGAATCGCACCTGCGTAGATTTCGAAATGGTTAGATTGCGTTTGGATGCAGTTTTTTCGATTCGAGAACATTCGTCCAGCCTACGCGTAGCGGCGGGATTCATCCATGGAACCAATTCGAGATAAAAGAAAAACGACCGACAAAAATGTATGAATCACCTGTGAGCCGGTTGCCGCTGAGCCACAGCGCCTTAAGCTCTCTGAGATTTCCCACCTCCCGTGGAATGGGGCCTGCAAGTGCAAAGGTAAATACGAGATTCGCGTGGGATCGCAAAAAACCTCTTGAAGCTTCTAGAACAGCTACTCTAGAGGGTGCGTAGGTGGTCTAGAGCCCGGAACAACATTCTGATATATTCTCTGGTTTGCCGCGACCGTTATTCTAGAATCCTCATCACACGATGTAGTTCCTAGGTTCGTCGCCGTGCTGTTCTACACAGGGCCAGCACCCAAGGAGCTGGGCGACCTTTCCGAGCTGGAGGAGCTTTGGTTGAGAGTCAACCAGCTTACAGGTGTGGTGTCCGAACATGTATCCCGCGTACGCGTTGGCAAGACCAACGGCCTACCAAAGGAGAAATAATTGGTTACCCATCGGACACAACCCTCACCGGTTAGCTGATTTCGTTCCAGCCAAAGCTGCTCCAGTATAGTTAGAGCTCCAAGCTCCTTGGGGATGTGTCCTGCATTTGCAGTACAGCAGCGGGCATGCGAAAATGAATTTTAGATTGTTTAAAAAATTCCCCCGGCTTCTAGAGCATCGATCCTGCCGACGCGACGGCGAGATTGATGTACTCTGTTCCTGCGATAGTATAAAAAAAATGCAAACCATCTCCTGGACTCACCACCTAACTTGTTGATACCGAGATCGAGGCTCTCCAAGAAGCTCAGATTCCCTAGCTGCGGCGGGATGGGTCCTGTGGAATGCGAGCCAGCAGGGGCATATTCTGTTGCTGGAATTCTCAAGACTACCTACATTGGCACCCACGCATTGGCATGGCACTTTCAACAACTACACAAACATGACAAACACTAATGAATGAACCCAAAATTGTTGCTATTGTGCAGGATCTATTCCCGAGGCACTCGGGACTCTCAGCAAGCTGGAGGTGGTTGCCCTGGATGCACACCAGCATACAGGCGAGACGTAGGCTTTGCCAGTTACTACTCGAGAGTTGTGCGGCTCGCCCCTACAAGCCTACTCGCTACGCGTAGGCGAATATGTGTTCTAGAAAAGGTGGGAGAAATGTTTGCTGTTCCCCGCTGCTGCGTAATTGCTCGTTCGCTGCAGGCCCCATCCCGCGGGAGCTGGGAGTTCTCAGCAGGCAACTGGCACTTTCCTTCTCCAATAACGAGCTCACAGGTGAGAACAATAGAATTGGCGGTGGTTCAAACCGATTCCATGCATGAATCCTGTCGATGCGTGAGTATATGGTAGGGAAAATACTCGCCGCTAACACTTGTTTGCTCATTCGCTGCAGGCCCTATCCCGCCCAAGCTTCGAAAATTCGCTCCAATGCAGCAACTCTTCCTTTCGCGAAGGGTCACTCTCGGATTGCGAATTCTTGGGCTGGTCATGCACGTCTACCTCTAGGTAGAAGCACGTGCCAGCAGTGACGGCCGAAAAATACAAAAATACCTCGGAGGTTGTTGCTCTTGAGGCGCAGCTTCACCACACGGCCCTCGTCGTTGACTTGGACTCCAGACCATGTCGCAATCTCAGCGGCTGTGTCCCAGTTGTCCTTCTTGTCCCAACTAGCGCCACCGGTCGAACGAAACAGGGCAACCAGGGCATCGCGATCCGTCAAGGCCATCGCTCAGGGAACCTGCGCAGGAAAAGTATCAGCGACGTGGGTTGTGTGGTACAGCCGAACCACTCCGCCAATACATGCGAATCCAGATCACGACTGACTGAAGCAAAAAGTGCTATGCGCCCTCAAGAGAGAAATAATCGAGTTGCCAAATACATCGTTCGATCAGCGGTATCCAGCTATGCTTTCGAAGAACGCCGCGCTGCTTGCTTTCTACAAAAGTTGTGCACAGAGCGCCAGACGAAACTGCTGGAATTTCAAGAATTGCAGGAGAGACAAAGATACCACACCCTATCGACTAAACGGTGTTGTTTTTGTTGTTGTTCACACCAAAAAAGCGTTCTGATCTACCTCCATCCTCCTGGGATTCCACGACAGTACATTCAACTGCTGTGACCGATCGAGCGTTTGTCGGCACAGCAGTCGTGGCCCCGTTTTAAGAGGGTGGTGTGACAAAGGCCCTCGACCGTCTTATATCGGAGGCCCCACGTATAATGGTAAAAGAGGGCACCCTCTTGCATCGGGGCACTCTATAGTAGGGTGCCCTCTTCCAAAGGGGACAGGGAATAACGTCAAAGACAGGCACATTCACAATAATACAGAACAACGTACGAACTGCTGTAAAGCACGTGTGGTCGGCAAATTGCCCGAATCGGCATGCCCAAAGCAAGCCAGGTGATTGTGAGCGTGTCGGTAACGCGTTCCGTTTCACGTTTCGTGCGTGCATGGAGTGGCGAAATCTGCAGAGAACAATTGCCATGAGGCCATTGACACTACTGTAGGTGGCAAAATACATGTGCTTCTGCATGCAAAACGCATACACAGTCGAACAACAAGCTTCGATCACCTCTCCGACCATGGGAAACTCCATGCACAGGCCACAAGTAACTGCTGTATTGCACAACACCAACGGTCTCTGTACCTCCGCCTGCCGCCCACCACATATACATCGTTTACGCTCTGCTGCTGTGCCGTTGGGTCTTAACCCCTTTAGGGCTGGATCGCCTTTTGGGGACACTTTTTGTCCCCATCTTCTTCGCCTGCTTTACCCCTCGAAGATTGGCATGATTGTCTCCTCCTTTGCACTGCTCGACCAGGGGGGTGCCAGGGTACACAGGGACGACTCTAGTCTCGTATGGATGCTTTGTAGAGTGGAGGAGTATGAGGGTAATGAACAGGTCGAATCGCGGGGCGATTACGCCGCCGGTTCAACAGCGAAGTTGCGCCGCGTCTGTTTATCCTTGGGTGGAAAGCGCTACTAGGGGCAAGCGCGGAAGAAGTACCTAGACCACCGTTGATAGGAGGCACCAAGCAACCTAGGGCTTGAGTTAGAAGGTCTCGTTTTCCCTCTAGAGAAATATCTTGAAAACCTCCTTTTCGTGCCCCGTTTACCACGCTTCCGCCAGTTGCTGTCTATAATCCCTATCAATTGTCCCCTCGTGTCCCCTCGTATCGAGGGGACAATTGATAGGGATTATAGACAAGAGACGGCTCAAGTGGGAAGGCAGCTTTGCACTTGCACCCAGGGATGGAACTGTCTGCACCATCCAATCAGCAGGCGTCGTTCGCTCTTTTTCTTACATTTCAGAAATTTCGCAAGACCGCCGAATTTTCTGTGCGTGGTAAGGGGTTCAGGCCGCACTGGGGATCGCAGTTTTCCTCTTCAAAAATTCAGGAAACGCCTGCATATCTCAGTTTTCCAAATTCTAACTCCAGAACGAAACTTCAGTCGCAAATTAACCGTCCGCTGACCCCCTCTCGTGTACAATGTTAGTATGCTTGAAGCGTTTCAAAATCGGACCGCACAGCAGCTTCAGCAATCCAGCTTGTAGCTCACCGATCTCGATGATAAAAGGATCGTTTGGAAATTCGCGGACCGCTAGTCTGCAGTGTATCGCAAGGCCTACAATCTCAGATACTCTATGTGGAGAGGGATCCGAGTGCGGACAGCGGCAAGTGCAGCCGAAGGGACATCAGGGTACACACCGCCTACATTTACGATAGCTCCCTAACGACTGCATGCCGTGCTGGAAAAGAAACGTATGCTGAAACGAACAACATTGTAGCCTAGCCAAAGAGTTCCCTGCTTGTAGTTGGCGCCGCGATATGTGTGTGTTCTTCTTTGTTTCATTAGTATCATCGACCGCGCTAGCCGGCTAGCCAATGAGAATGTACGTCAGTCTCAGTGCGGTTGAACACAGAAAAAGTTTCAATAGGTCACGATCTGGGTCCCCGTAAGGGGGCGTCATGGGAGAGGCTAAGCTATTCGCCAGAATAACTCTTAGAGTTGGTATCTAGCACAGAGAAACTGCGGGTTTACCAAGGATGCTACTTTGCAAGCGTGTTCGTTTTGGAGTGCTTTATGATCCTTCCATCATCCTCCATGCATTCACCACCACTTTCACCAAAAGACCACTATATATTGGCTGCTCCTCCCTATTCCTGCGGCGTTTGTTGTGAGGAAGGTGCGTTATGTGTGAATGAAAGGACCGAGGGCCCTCACACCGGCGACAGTTCCGACCTGGCAAGCCCCTCTACAGTGGGGCTAACCCCCTCGATAGTGGCGTGGCCCCACTTTAAAAGGCCCGGTCTATGTGTAAGGGTCGTTATTAACGCAACGACAAAAAAACGCTTCTTTTCACGGAAGATCCGATTATTTTTCGCTTGTTCTAATGGTGATGTCATCGCGAAGAGTTCGTTTCTTTCCCTGAGTACACGTTTTGCTCGACACACAACAGGTTGACATGGTATTGCTCACCATAGAGCAGCGGTGAAAGCGCAACAAGCAGCACCCGACACAGAGGACAACACACTTAGAAAGATCCCGTCCACCTGGCCTGCTGTTTTCAGTTTTCAGCAACAACAGGCGCAGGGCAGAGTGTCGCCACCTTGGTGTTGCTTGCGATTTCTTCAGTTTGCCAGCTCATTTTTCACGGTTGCGACTCCCATCTTTGACCACCACCTGCCCAAAGGTAGACGAGCTCAACAATCATAGGGCGGCAGCCGCGCTGACGGCCAGCATCATATAGATGGCCAATCCGAAAAAATTAGCGTGTCGGAGGCCCTGTTGCTCTACTGCTGCGTGGTACCTTGGATTGATGTTGATGCGTCCGACCAAAAACAGATCATCTCGCCGCATTTTTTCCAACGGCATTTTGGTGAGGTGGCACACGTCTCTCACACACTTTATTGAGCAGCATCCAAGCACCCAATACCCACGAAGCAGCACGGCGCCGGGAGATGGTATCATATAGACAGCCGAACCGAAGGAATCAGCGCGTTGGAGGTCTTGGTGCTACTGCTGTACTCGTTCTACTGTTTCCGTGTTTGCTATGTGTGATTGAAAAAAAAAAAAAGCACCAACAGCAGCAGTTGAAGACGAGAGCACCACGCAATGCCTAGTTTTGGGCCAAGAACGGACTGAACGCCGCTTCTGCCGCTTGTCCATCTCCACAATAGACCTGGACGTGAGTCTGGCAGGTCTTTCTAGCGTTCTCAGTGATGTTACCACGCCCGCGGTGCGCTTGTCCGATGTTTCTGTCAAAAACACGGATTCGTTAAAGTAGCAAGCCCCCCAAAAAACCGGCTCCTTCTTTTCACGCTTTCGGGGGAAAACGCCTCCATACAATATGTGTTCAAGAAAACACGGTTTCGTTTTTTTTTTCATGTTTTATTGGTCGATAAGAAACACCCTAAGAGAGAAACCCTACTGTATGTATAGCGGGTCGAGTCCTTGATAACCGATTCCGACGCCCCCGCTTAAAAGGTAAAAAGGTACCCTCTTACAACAGCAGCAGTGCCACGACTGGAAGCGACGTACATACGGCTGTAGTCTTTCTTATGCATTCATATAGAACCTGTATCTGAGCCGAAGAAAACCGAAAAAAACACGTACATACACACAGGTATTTTTCGATGTGACAGACGCCTGGCACGGACGGCAGCAGCTTGGAGTTGTTAATGCATAATTTATGTAGCATGAGCATACGCACACCACATGTACCATCTCAGCAAACATGGGGCGAGGTACAGCTACACGCATATGGTAGTACAGCAGCAAATCAGGCACCCACCGCCGAGAAGAGAAGGAATATGGGGCTACACGGCCACACTAACGTGTGCGGAATCCAGACGAGAGTCTCCACTTCTGCTCTGCCCTTTCCGACACCACCCCTTAAAGACCTTGAACCCGGATCTCCGGTTTCCCCTCCCTTCAGTCTGTGATGTTCGCAAGGCGCGAGGCCAGATGAAAGGAACTTGGCTTCATAGCCGGACTGGCTTGTGCTGCTGGCTGTTTGAGTTCAATGAATGTGCGGAGGAATCAGAGGAATGACGTATGTAGGCATACGGCTCGGACTGCCATCCGCGATGTCCCTCGTGGCTGCTTCTGCTTCTTGACTCTCCACCACGAACCAACAGCCAGCTCTCTCTCTCTCTCTCCGGTGTCCATATACCAATGCACAAAGCTTCTCTTCCCTCGCTGTATGTGTGTGTGCTGAGAGGTAGAAGCGTGGGCTGATTGCTCGCGCCGCATGATTGAAGTTGCTGAAAAGACTCAACACGGCGGTGTTTGCTCAATTGCTGTGTTGTCGTCCCTCGAAAAAATCTCTCCGCATCTCCAAATCTCCAGGGGGAGGAGTATCTCTGCCGACCCCACTGCTGTGCACAATCGCCGTGCATCCGAAGGGTGCAGGGAGCTTCAGGCACCTGAGTTGATTCTGTCGTATTGATGGTGGGCCGTGTGCTGCAGCTTGAGGGTGTGTCCATTCAGCGCGACGATCCTCATGTGATGAGCGACAGAGCGTCTTCAGAGGTTCGACAACGATCCGAACGTGTTCCTTGCTCACGCTCAGCATTGTTGACCCATCATGATTCAATACGCGTCATGGATCGATACCCCCGCTGCTTTATTGATGGCCACTACATGTACTGCTGTGCTGATTTCTACACGTGAATGCTCTTGGGGCTGCAATTGTTTTCTGTGTATTTTTATGGGTGGGTGCAAGAAAGATGCCGTTGATCTTCCGGATTTGCTCGAGCAAGACTGTGAGCTGGTTTTGTCGCGTGTCCAAAAGACTCCGTACATCCTACGCCGCGAACGTGGGTGTGATGCGGTGACTGCGCCCCACTCTGTGACTATTATCTGTGGAGGAAGGAACACCTGTGCAATTGCGCTTCGCCAATGGTGAGGAGTGGCTCCGGGTGACCACGTTTTCTGCGGCAGCATTCTTATGTGTACATAAATCGCACGCACAGAGGTACTTGTTGAACCCTCGCACACGAACATTCGATGGCAGAAAGATCAGAGAGTTATATATTCAAGTTGAAACCTCCCCGCAAAGTACACAGGAAATTGCTTCAATCTTGTTGTTGCCATCATAATTACTTGTAAGTACACGGCGGTGTTGGCCTATATTTTACGTGGATGTTGTGATTTGAACGTGAAACGGACGGTAACCCGCTCTCCGCTCGCCGGACATCGCCAGCCCTTTGGCGGCAAGATTCCTACCACTATATCTGCTGTTTTTCGTGCGGCACTTGGATCCCACCGACCGTCAAGGTGTTTCCGCTTCTCTCAATTTGCTCTTCTTTTCGTGGTAGGAGACGTCGCGACCATAGCTGTGCTACACTCTTTGTTCTTGTGAGTGGCGTTGCGAGGAAGGCATTTGCGACACGCATCTGGGTTGTCGGGCCTTAGGCCGGATAACAACGATCAACCCGACTTTTGAGAGAAGTTTTGGTAAGATGCTGTTCGAGGTTGCGCTGGAATATGCGGTGAAGCACACGAAGCAAGCCGTCCCCTTGTGAGCAAAGGAGGGTTACATGAGCCTGGATAGAGGGCCCCACAAGCCTCCGCGAGGTACATCAGGAAAAAACGAAAAAAACACATGGTCACGCAAGGTCACGTATCTACAGCTCTCGGAAAAATGAAGGCTCACGGAACGCGGCCCCCGAGGCTGCGGCGTCACTTTGTGCCACACCCATTTCCAAACAGCAGCACCAGTGAACAAATCGGTCATCGGTGCGTTCCCTTCACTCTCAAAAACACGGGAAGGAGTCCGTGGTTCGTACTGCAACAAAACAAAAATCCAAGCCAGCCGGCTACCACAACCACGCACGACCGGTGGCTTGCACAGGGTCAGGGCGAGACAGTCGGCAACACAAACAAACTTGAGAGTAGTCGTGGCTGTGCAACACAAGCCCTACTGCCGTAGCGCAAGACAAATGTGCCCAAAGGTATTCGACATACAGTATCTGACATGGGAAGACAGGGCTTCCCAACTATTGTTGGCCGTTGGCATCTGTTTCCAACCCCCAAGGCTGCCCCAGCCTCCTCTCAGCCCTACACTAAACAAGAGTCGTTCGTACCGAATGGTGGCCCTATCCCGAATCAACGCTTGCAATGTCTGTAGCGACCCACAAAGGACCTTTAAAGTGAGTATGACCCCATGTGTTTTTGCCGCTCACGGCTTCCATCGCCCTGCCATAAGAACTGTGCGTGAACGTCTGCCACCGCTGCTACTGCTGCTGCTGCTGCTGCTGCTGCTGCTATTGCCGCTCGATCGCTCTACACTAGGTTCAAAACAAAAGTATACGCAGTCACAACAAGAGGGATACCGACTACGACACGAAAGCCCCGGGGATCGTCGCCACGCAGGGCTCGCCATCGACGTTGAAGACGCCCACGCCGTCGTAGCCGGGAAGCCCGTCGCTGTTGGTCTTGAGCTTGGGCGCGCACTTCTCCAAAATCTGGAATATTTTTCCATGTTTCGAGGCAGGGGAGACGCGGAGCGATTGCAACATTGGGGGTCAAGGATGGACGCATCATGATACGTCATAAATCGAAGGCGGACGGAAGCGTCATGACGGCGTATGCTGGTTGTGCAGACGAACGAGGCAGAATTGTTTAAACGAGACGCAACGCGTTGAAAATCCCTATGGCTAGACTAAAAGGTTATATTCAAATGCGACATACCCAGCATAGGAAACAGAAACAAGGCACAAAAAGAGCTGGCAGTCCCTTCTTTCCATTCACGGAGTTCTCTCACTCATTCATTTCTCTTTCGTTAAGCGAAATACTCCGGGTAACACTTGGAACAAGGCACACACAGCCAACAGCCCCTCTTCCATGCACTGTAGCCGACCCATTGCTAAGCGAAGTACGTACAACCGTTTCGGTGCATGTCGATTGGCTCTTCTCCCCCGACATGTTCCATTGACCCAACATTCATTGAGTTTACCGATTAATTGTCGACCAAATACGATACCCTTGCCCGTTCATGCAGTGCACCGCCATTGCTACTCGAAAAAGGGATGCCATCTGCGAAGTGCTGTACAGGCTACCGAATGCGCAGCAAAGTAGTGGTGGCGAACGTCGCCCAGCGATCGATCCCCTCCTGATGTAAGCATGTGGGCTGGGGCAAAGGTATGCGCAACACAAAGGTACGCAAATCCGTCGGCCTCTTCCTGGCCGCCCGAATGCGACAAGATCAATAAATGTTGCTGTACATATCGAGAGAACACGGGTGAATCCACACATGTGCGATCGACATCCAAAATATCGATTGCTCAATAACCGAGAGGGTGTCAAAAACTCGACCGAAGTGTGCACGGAAGGCTCTCTACGATATCTGCCAAAAATCACGCTATTTCCGGTATTGGCAGCCCCTTGGTTGTGGAACAATCAAGTCGAAGAATCGATCGCACAGCTGTTTGCGTTCGCCTGCACTTTCACGGTAGCGCCCTGATGTCCAGTGCACAACGCCGAGCGTGCAGGCGGCGCGAAAAACAAGAAAACAAAACTAATATTACCTTTTTCTTCTGCACTTGAGCGGGCGTTGCCGGCTCCCCCTCCGTCCCGCTCACGGTGACTCTCGCCCCGATGGCCGCTCCCGGCGGCGGCTCAACGATCTTCACCACGCTGTGATCTTCGGAGGACGCGCAGAGGACCTAAGGACAAACAGGAGTAGGTGTTATGGGAGTACGAGGAAGGGGGGAACGTTCTTGTTGCGTGAACGTTTCGCGCCAACCGCAACATTCGAGGAGGCAGGGGACGAGAACAGCGTGTGTTGTACGGAGGAATCTCCGTCGAGGTTGGTGGAGGTCATATCCTCGCAACATGAAAAGCACTCGATGGCTGATATCTGCTGTTTCTTTCCGGAAATAAATCCATATCTCCAGGGCAGCGTTTCAGGGCTTTGATACCCGATTTTCAGTCCACGACGGTGATACGGAAAACTGAACTTCATGGAGACAACAAGACCGACTGACAGGTGGAAGAGGTAGACGAAGACGAAGGAAAACAGAAAAGGACAGATGAAGTGCAGGTAGGCAGGACACAACACAGGAGGTATGCCAGCGGGTGTGCAAACCGATCCTCCTGCTTGTCGCGCGATAGGGTGATTGCGATCGGGACGCTTGGGGACCATTCTCACGCACCGCATCAACTACTAACTCGCGCAGCCACGCGATGCCGAAGACCAAAGGGAACCAGAAAACAAACAAGAAAAAGGAGCTGGTGCCAAGAGCGCGTGGTGTTCGCAAGACTCACCATTCCATTGCTCTTAAAGCCGCCAATGTTTCGGGGCTTAAGGTTAGCCAAAACGATAACTCGTCGTCCCTGCATCTCCTCCAAGGTGTAGAACGCTCGCAGCCCCGAGGCGATATTCCTGTTTGCTCCCTGCAGGCCGTGAGGAGCACCGACGGGAAACGGTGCGCGGGGGGGAGAGGGGGTTCACGGTGTAGGGGGGAAGTTTCTCGTTGGCGTTCTTTGCATCACTTCAACACACTGCGCGGCGGACACTCCCTTTCCGTGTTCGTCCCCACTACTTGAAACCCGGTCTCGCAAGCCTCCTCAAAAGGCAAGTACGACTAGCTTCTTCCTCCTTCTCTCTTCCCCTTCGTCTCCAACCCGGCCCCATCTCTCCCTCGGCCAAAACCCAATGGCACACAACTAAGAAAAGCGCGCAGCACATGTGTACCTCCCGGGCCTCTGATTTCTTCCGCCGACACGGACGCCTTTCATGCATTGGTCAACCGGTCGCTGCTAGTTAAAGCAAGGCACACACACGGCTCTAAAGCTCGCTGCTATCATAGTTAAAAGCAAGACACACACACGGCTCTAAGGCTAGCAATGGCGGGTGCGCCCTACAACCGAATCGGTTCGACCTCCCGCGATCGACCCACCTCCCCGAGGTCGATCTCCTCGCAGAACAGCTTCTCGGAGTCGGGGTGCTCCCACGCTTTCACGATGGTGCCGACGCGTACGTCGAGCTTCGACGGGTCCCCCTCCGCGGCGGCGGCGGCGGCAGGCGCAGCAGACTCCGCCCCCTTCTTCGCCTCACCCGGTGCACCCTTCGCCGCGGCCGCCGGCGTCGCCGCCTTACCGTCCCCGTCCTCACCCCCCGCCGCCGCCCCCTTCTTTTTCTTCTTCTTGTCCTTCTTGCCCTCTGTAGGGCTGCTAGCGCTCGCCGATTTCTCTGTGCCGACACCACAAGCGGGCGCCGCCGCCGCGGCCCCGGCCGCCGACCCCGCGGTTGCCGATTGGGCCGCGCCGCTGGAGGTGGCTGGTTGTTTAGCGGGCAGAGGCACCGCCACTGGCGAGAAGATGTTGAGAGTTACGGTTGGGGGGAGGACAGGGCAAGACGGCGCCAGTAGCCTCACGCGGTGCTGCACTTGGTTGAACCTGCACGGCAGCCCCGTGATGCAGGTGTGCAAGGGGGGGGGGCGGAGTATGGGGTCACGAGTAGCCGGTATGACGAGGAACTCTTGGTGTGGTTTTGATACTCCGTTTGTCGCCCTCCGTGCGAAGGAGCAAGCAGTAAAACACCGCCTTCAGGAAACAACACCAAGATTTTCAACACGAAACTACGGGGGGTATTACGACCATGGGCATCTTGAGGGAAAAACGCCGGGTGGGCGGAATTGTGCAAGAAAGGGCAATCGGTGGGGCTCAGCACGTCGCCGTATGCTATCAATCTGCAAACGGCCCTAAGGCGGTCATCCCGCAATATTCACTCCGTCTGTGCCATGCGATTCCATCGGCACTATGTTGGGCACCCGGCACTGGTGAGCGCCCTCTACTGGCTGTTTGTGGTGCACGGCAGTCGGTTGGTGACCGAGAAATGACCAGAAGGAAGCACAGCCTGTGCTAGACAACGTTCAACAGACATTCTACCACCACCGTCAGCAGAAACAACAACAACAACCCCTGGAAGCGGAGAGAGAGAGAGTGCCTATGCATCGGAGCAGGTATGCCATGCGGGGGGGAGAGCAAGGGCAACGCAGAACAGCGAGGTGCGTGCTTGAAAACTTCTCTCGAGACACAACACAACCCGCAACATCACGGCTGACCCAAAATCACGCCACACGCACTCCCATTTAGCCCTACGGCAATCTTGCACAGCGAAAACAGAGTCACCGCCACCCTCACCACCGACACAAGTGCAGTTGCTTCCCGGCCGCGGGGGGAGCGGCGGCCACGGCCGCGGCGCAAGCGAAGTAGACCGCGACATCCGCCAACGAGAAAGCGCCGCCGGCGAGGAAGGACCGGCCGGGGAGGTGCTTGTTCAGGCTCGCCAGGTGCTCCGAAGAAAACGAGGTCGAGAAGTCTAGCCAGGAGTCAACCTGAGGCGTGCGGTCGGGGAGCCCAACGGAGGGTGGCAAGGGTGGCAAGGGGGGCACGTGAACAGGGGGACGCGGGGGGAGTAGACCTTAACCGGTCAGTTTCGTGTTCGCCGATATCGAAATGCACACTTTGTAGCAAACATGTCAAAATGAAAGAGGGTGTCAGCAACATGGTGACAGAACATCGCGTGGGTCAGAGCTGTGACCGAATGTCACGTGGGCCCCCTTATGGGGGGGGGGTCAGCGTGTGAAAGTCTTAAGCGTGCCCCCGTGCCTTGCCCCACCGCGTTCCCGCTGTCTTTCCCTAACGATCGCATCATGCTCTCCTCCCGGTCGGAGGAGAGAAGGCGTTCCCGATCGACATTTTCCCACCTCCTCTTTCTCGTGTGTACTCGTCCTACTGTACTCTTTCCGATCCCCATCGGGTGCTGACCAAAACGCGCAGCCTCATTAACCCGATTCCATCCCGCATGGTAGACCAGAAAGGTCTCAGCTGCCCGTCCCTCCCCTATCCCACATAGAAGTAGATCGGTTCGGATGCAGACTTGAGGGAACATAGAGTTTTGGACCCGTCGGCAGCTGAGGCATCACAGCCCGAACGTCGCAGCTCAATGATGCCCTCTACTGATTTCGCATGTGCGACCGAGACTATCTGACTATCTGAGCCGGAAGGCCATCTTCGACTACTATTCCCTCTTGGATACAGACCACAATCACAAACCCTGTTCCGCACCCCCTTAACGATGCACGCAGTTGCTGTTTCACTCGATGGTTTCGTTAGTGCTGCTGTACAAGGCCGAAAAAACGGCTTCAATTTTATAGGACGTCTCAAACCCTGGAAGTGCCGGTTTGGCACCATACCAGCACTAATCCTACCTATGTCATGCCGGTTCTGGGAAAAACCCGGTCGTTTGGCCTGGCACATATCGGCAGTTTACCGGAACAATTGCAAAAACTGCAGCTGCTGTGTCTTGATCTGAACGTGCGGTGAAGATGTTCGCGTAGATCTGTAGACTGTCGGCCAAAGCTTGAAGCTTTAAACGAACAAGAGGATACTCACTCACAAAGAACGTGCTATTGAGAGATACCGTTATCATACCTATCCAGTCGTCTACAGGTTATGCCTTGGTAGTCGCACAGCAGTTATGAAGCAGCACCCGTGCCTTTCTTCCATCGAGAATCGACGGCGGGAGATGCGTGTTGTGGCTGCAAAGCAACGCGACTCTACCGTTGGCTGCATAAGATACCACCAACCCACTGGACACACATGCCCAAGGTACTGTAGCGGGAAAGGGCAAAGCACGAGCAGGGATGCTGCACCCAATACTCACAAACCGGCACCTCGATACACGCATCAAAATGACAGTTTTTAAGAGCGTCATCGTACCGCCGCTAGAGTATGCCGGAGAAGTATGGGAAGGAAAAGATATACATGGAGTACTAACAAATAGCTGTCGTTACAAAGAGCGAGAAAACGACGTGATTCAAAGTAGAAGAAAAGTGAGGGAGCGCAACGAGAAGAAATAAAGAGAGAGCAACCAAGACGGCAAAACACGAGTCGCTGTGGATACATCCTTGTGGCCCTACGAGGCCTTGTTGTGGTTCTTACCACGCAAAAGGCTACACCAGACAGAGAGTTGAAAACGAGTTCGCTTGAGCTCCTCGGGTGTGTGTCAGGGGCCCTTACCCGTGCGTCGCCACGGCCGACAAGGCCGACGCCGTCGGCACCAACGGCAAGCCCAGGGCACCTCCATGTTGCGAGGTGTGCGACACGAACATCCCGCCGTCAGCCACTTACTCGTCGCGTAAGGTCACGGAAAAAAAACTTCTTTTTTCCGACACACACGCCAACCCCGACATCTGCAACCCACTAGAGGCCGTTACTGACGCCTGTGCCAACTGCGAAACAACCGATACCGATATCGGTTGTTTGGCAGTTGGCACAAGCGTCGCCACCGACCTACGGTGGGTTGCAGATGTCGGGGTCGGCGTGTGTGTAGGAAAAAACATTTTTTTTTTCGTGACCTTACGCGACCAGTAAGCGACGCACGGCGGGATGGTTGTGTCGCACACCTCGGAACATGGAGGTGCCCTGGGCTTGCCGTTGGTGCCGACGGCGTCGGCCTTGTCGGCCGTGGCGACGCAAAGGCCGCACGGGTAAGGGCGCCTGACACACACCCGAGGAGCTTAAGCGAACCCGTTTCCAGATATGGATTTGATTGGCGAAGATGATGGCGAAAAAACGGGTGCCTCGTTGCATCTGTACCACCATGATGAGAAGTGTTACCACTTTTGTCCTGTTGGGGGTGGCGGTCTTCTTGGGAGGCATTGATTCGGCAGGTGATTTGAATTGTCAAAAAGGAGACACGTGCGAGCGGTTTGGGGCGTTTGTGGTGTTGCGGGTGTGGGTTGCCCTCGGTCAGAGAGTAAAGTGCAACTTGATGGTGCGAAGCTGAGAAAGAGGCGGTTCTCCCCCAAAAAGACAAGAATATTTCCAAGGAAAATCTATATACGGTTGGCGTGAAAAAGAGTGTGCATCGAGTGTCAACGTTCTCCTGCAGTCGAGTCTACTAAAAAGTGCTATAGCAAAGGTCGGGGTCCACCAAGCACTCCACCATGCACGCCCGACACGTTATGTGCGAAGGACACGAACGGAGGATTGCGGGGAGTTGACGGGTCAGGGAACAACATGAGATGCCTTGTCCCTCATATGCATACATGTAGACAGCATATTTTTTTGTCGTATTACTAGTGTTGACACTGCAGACGGGTGGAAACACACACACGACACGACAAAAAACAGGAGTGTGCCACACACAGGTACGGTAGAGCTGCATAAACCACGGCCGACACCGCTGTACTCATAAATTAGATGTGGGGAGACCGCTGTCGCAAAATAATTGCTTGTGCAACGCTGGTTAGGTGGACATGACATGCCTCTTCGGAGCAGGAGATGCGGTGGAAATACCACAACAGACAAAAAAAAAATGAGGTTGACGTGATGCAGATTGGCGCATATCGCTTCGTCGCTTACAAGCGTCAAAGAGCTCAATGTAAAGGGATGCGCACGCAGCCCTTTCGATGCTCGTTTTCGGGAGCTGCTTCCTTCGGTAACTGACAGCCAAATGATGCCGAAATGCCCGTTGCAGCGTGTTGCAAAGGACTTGTGCTAGGGTTGTGTATCGGAGCCGATATGTTTGATATAATCGGACGATATATATCGTATCGAATATCTATTGTCAGCCCCGATATATTGGGCGATGTATTTGAGGGGGCTCCGCGAATCAAAAAGGGGGCATATGTTACAACAGTTACACGTTTGGACCCCCTATGAGGCCTCGCTGTTGCGGCGGCTGTTGCTTTGGACCACAGAAGAGCAGACCGAACACCGAACACTAGCCGAACACCCCATGAGTACCCCACCAGCAGCGGACCAGGATGGAGGGTCCTCCACGCCGGTGGTTGCAGTAGAACCAGTTTCAGACACAGAGACAGCAGAGCGTTCGAAGAAAAACGAGCGGGCTGCGAAGGTGGAGAGGGTCAAGATGGAGCCGCAGCTGCCCAAGCCCCCGAATGCCTCACACCCGGTGTGGAAGCATTTCAGCGTGTATCGGAACCCATGCCATTCGGGCATCGCGATCTGTCAGTTGTGCGTGGCAAACGGCGACTTTCACTGTGCAGAGACCAAGTTCAAGGTAGGGTCGCCTACCAATCTCCTGGCCCATCTGGACACCTCCAAGGTTGGACACAGGGACGCACACACCGCGATCAAGCACGCGAAGGCAAAAGGCTCCGGCTCCGCTGCAGCACCAACAGGACAAGCAGCGATCACCAACTTCCTCCCGAAGGAGGAGGGGGGGGCGATCTGGCACGACGAGTTGGTTCGTCTCATCGTCAACAACTACCTCTCTCTGTCCGTAAGTTTTTCGTGTTTTTAAAATTGAGGTACGAGTATTTTTCAGCGATGCAGTGGTTAGCTAGCAGTGGTGCTCATGTTTTCCCACAGAGGCGCGTGTTGTATTGCGTATGCCATGCGCAACTTTTACTGCGATACAGCAGTGCTTTTCCGCGGATCGATGCGTGTGTTGCATGACAGTATCAAGTGTGAATGTTTCGGTCATTGTTGAGCGATACAGCAGTGCTTTTCCGTGGATGCTTGTGTTGCATTATCATGTGTAAACGTTTCAGCGATACAGCAGTGCTTTTCAAAGTTTTAGCGGCACAGCAGTGCTTTTCCGAGGGTGTGCGTGTGTGTGGTGCGCCCGCGAGCAGAGGGAGGCAAGGTCACTGCTGCCAAAAAAAAAAAAAGAAACTGGTGTGCCCGAGCGGTCTGCATTTTTTGTTTTTGGAATCGAAGCGGTGACATCTGTTTTTTCAGGCTGCACGAAACTACTGTGGTTTTCGACTGCTGACGCTTCAACTTTCACAGGCGGCACCTTTCTGACCTGTTGCCCCAACATCTCCCCTCGTTCGACACTTTTGATCACTCGCAAGTTTGTCGAGTACTCGGAACTCAAGGCGATGGTCTCGGCACTCAACAAAAGAGCCAAGGTTCCCAGTCGCCGCGAGCTTCTTTCGAGGATGCGCGCTGTGAAAACGGCCCTCGAAAGCGAAGTCGCCCTCATGCTGGATGCCGAGTTCGTAGCAATCACCACGGACGGCTGGACATCTCGGAACAACGAGTCCTACATGTCGCTGACCGTGGCCTACATCGACTACGAGTGGAAGCTGCACCATCTTTCTTTGGACTGCGCGAAGCACACGGGGACAACCACGGGTGAGGACTTGGCGGCGTTGGTGGCGGGAATGGTTGAACGCCACGACCTAACCGGTCGGGTGATTGCATGCGTCACCGATTGCGAGCCGTCTATGATCAAGGCGGGTCGCCTGCTTGAGGTGGACGGGAGTACGATTTCGCACATCGGCTGCTCGAACCACCGCATGGAGTCAACGACGTCATCGGTCTTCAACGGCAGGAGTCTTGGCGCCTTGGGCCTTGCGCGAACGCTAGTAGGACGCTACAAAAAGTCGAGTCAGATGGCGGCTCGCCTCGTCCAATTGTGCGGCATCCTCCAGATGGAACCGCTGTCCGTGATGCAAGACGTCGAGACGAGGTGGTGGTCGACATGGGCGATGGTCGTGCGTCTGCTCTACCTGATGAAGGCCATCAAGCTTCATGAGTCGATGGACGAAGTCCACCCGCTGTTGTCGGACACGGACTGGGAGGTGCTGCGGTTGATCGAACCAATCCTGCGACCGTTCATGAAGGCGCAGAAAGACCTGGAGGGGGCCCAGTACGTGACGGGTAGCATGACCATCGGGAAAATGGCGGAGTTGCGAGAAGGGCTTGAGGCCGCAATCACAGACCTCAAGGCCGTTGCGCAACAGGGGCTCAAAGAGACTACGCAGAAGGCGATGGAAGCCGTTCGTCCGGATGCGGAAGCCCTGATGGCGGATTTCACCAACCGTTGGGGCGACGGCTCCAACATACTCGAGTACAGGGAGGGCAAGCGTCGCCAACCGCAGGGGTTCAAGCGGAAGCAGGTGTACGCAACGGCCCTCGACCCGCGGGCCAAGCACCTCTACGGGATACAGCAGCGAGAGCACGCAGGCGTATGGCGCGCTGTCGCTAGCGCCGCGGTGGACATTGCTCTGGGGAAGCACGCTGGCGATAAGGCACCCGCCTCCGCGGAGAAACCTGCTTCCGATCCCGTCCAGACGCAGCCGGCCCCACTTGGAGGGGGCCAGGGAGCCTCGAAGCGCCCTCGCATGAGCGCGTTCGAGGCCGCCGCTGCTGCCCACGCTGCAGATGCAGGGGATAGCAATGCCGGCGATTCCGCGGATGAGAAACGCGAGCAACTGGTGGCCATCGTGGACATGGAGGTCTCTGCCTTCAAGGCCGCACCCGGGATACGGGTTTGGGACATGCAGAAAACCAACACGGGAGACAAGAAGGTCTTCAACAATCCCCTGGACAGGTGGCGCAAGAAGCAATTGGAGTACCCTCTGCTCGCGGCGCTGGCTCGTCGTGTGCTTGCCATTCCGTCATCTCAAGCGCAATCCGAGCGCGTGTTTTCTACGGCAGGGCTAACCGTGACGCCCACGCGGAGTCGCCTTTTAGACGAAAACGTCGAGCTCCTCGTGTACTTGCGCAACGTGTGGGGTGTAGTGGATGAGTGGAAGAAGAGTGCTACTCGCAAAAAGAAGATTGCTGTTTCGATGCTCTAACCAGCACGTCGTCGTGATTGTCGTGGATTTTCCGCTTTTTTTTTTTGTGTGGAGCAGGTCACGTGTGGACGGTTGGTTTTTACCCACCGCAACGTCGAGAAGTTATCTAGATCTAGATCTCGCATTTTCGAAGTACGGTAGTACGGCCGACCGGATGTCTGCGTCTGAAATTGTTGCTGGCCGGGCGGGTGGTGGGCTTTGGGCTTGGGTTGAGAAGAACTTAGGCTGTGTTGTAGAAACATGACAAGATTCAGAGAGAGAGGGAGGACGAGGGAGGTGGGAACGTGTTTTGGAAGCAGCTTCGTGAAGACGTTCAAACGTGGTCGTGTTGTACCACCCAACCAAAGCTTCGAAAGAGAACTGACTAATCATCTGTCATTTATTGTCGATGGTTTCCAAGTTTTAGCGTTTTTCAGTAGTTTTCAGGATATCACCCACCAAAAAATGGCATGGTCGAAGTGCCCCAAAATCACCCAAAAAATATGCTCTAGTGAAGCCAAATCGCGTAAAAAAACACCTCCGGCGGGGCGCCTCCAGCGGGGCCCCTCACCAGCCGGGGGGCCGAGGGGGGGCTCGCTTCGCGAGCCCCTAACCACGGCTCGCTTCGCTCGCCGATATTTTTTCGATAAGCCGATATATCGAAAAAATATCGTTATATCGGCTGCGCCGATCTCCGATACATATTATATCGTTCGGCTGCGCCGATACACAACCCTAACTTGTGCACATGGGAGTAAGAAGCAATCCCAGAGACAGCCACTTGAGGGGGCGCGTGACGGGATATTTACACCCCCATGGTCCATGCGTTGCAGTTTGCGTCTTCCCCTAGCACAAACTTTGTTGGTCGTGATCCGATGAGGGAGATGCACCAAAGACATGGTTATCGAACGCAGAAGTGTAGTTCTAGCTCCACATCAATGTAAGATATGTGTCGAGGGGATTCGTATGTATGTGTTGAGAAAATGCGGCCTGATCAAGTCTGAGTGTTGCTGGCGGACGAGGCCGGCCGCTGGTAGGCGAAATGTGCTGTCGCACGCGGCGTGCAGATCGGATGGCTTTGAAGCTTGGCACACAGTTGTGTTTACTGGGTCATTGTTGACTGCCAAAGTTTAGTGGACGTCGGTGAGCAGGCTGGGGAGTTGTCCATGTGGAAAAAAGACGGTTGCGCCAGACCCCGGCGGCATTATTGCAGTCGGATTTGGCCAAACGCTATATGTAAGCGTGCTCGCTTTACTCGCCACCAGCGTTGCCGAGACTCGCGGGGCATCCCGATTCCGTCCTAGCGCATCGAACCGTGGCTAGCGTAGGGCTGTATCTTGCTCGGTTGCGGAGAGTGTCGTGGCAAAAAAATGCGTGGATTTGAGCTCCAGGGGCGCGGCGCGGCGCCTGTGGGGAGGTGGTAAATGCTCGCGTTTGGCACCGGTGTCGCTTCGATTGAAATTCCTTGGAAACAGTTTCGAGGCATAGGTCGCGAGAAGGCACCGCCACAATTTCGTGGTCGAAGCTTTCGCGAGCTGAGAGAAATCGACTGCGGTCAAAATATCGCCTTCGGGTCTAGTGGTAACCTCGAAACCGCTAAATACATTAGTGGCAACGTCGTGGGTTCGAATCCCCATGGGGTGTGAAATATTTACGAATTGTGAAAAGTTCGTGAGTACCAACCTTCAACGTTAGCACCGTTGACGAGGGAAAGGGACGGCTGGACCCTTCTAGCGACAAAAAACAAAATTCAGCACGCATTGAGAGTTGCTGTGTGTTGTTGTTGTTGTTGTTGATTTAATGAAGGAGGAAAGGTGTGGCACGAATAAAAATCAAAACAAGAAGAGAGCCCCGGTGTTTACCCCCTTCTGTGTGACCCTGGATGGTTGTAGATGTACAAAAAATACGCTGAAAAGTGTACTACGTACATACACTGAATCACGTGTAGCACACGTCTCACCACGAAAATGGGGACTAGACTACACTGCTGTCGCCACAACAGCAGTAAATACTTCGAATACGTACAGGACGAAACACACAAAACACAAAAACGCTACGTTTCTTTGGTTGTTCTTTCCGTATGTAGCTGAAACCAATCCTCTTCGGATTGGAACGACCACGAGGATGTCAAAATCAAACCATACGGTTTCGAAAAGCTCCCGACGAGGCGAACCGAACGCCACCATTTTTCGGCGACGCCGCTCTTGCTGCAGAGCAATCGAGCCCGTCATATCGGTCCAGGGTCCGGGGTGTGTGGTATCTTCCGCAATATGGTATTCTCTCAAGTCACATCCGAGGAATTCAAACCGATGCGCGCGGTGACGTAAGCTGTGGAGCATCGCGCGCGCACACACCACGCAGAGACCGCAGCAAGCCATATTGCAACGCCTCCTGCACATACCTCTGCCCGGTGCTCCGGGCTCGCTCCTGGCAACAGCAAGCTCTTGGCCGCACCGCCTTCATCAGCCGCACACAGCTTTCGCATGGCCAAGCCGCAGCCCTCGCCTACTGGCGGTCCATCAGCGTCCTTGGTGCAGGAGCCCTTGCCAGCCACGTAGCTCACGAAGCACACGGCCGCCATTGTGTCGTGCCTCGTGTCCTCTGTGCAGCTGCTGTAGTGAAGGATGTAGCTCCCGGTGCCTGTGGGTGTTGGCCAAGGGAACAAGTACAATTGTGTACCCTGTTTTTTGGGGGATGCCAAGTACCTTTTTCCGTCTGCTGTAACGTAGATTGTACCGCATACCGGCCATCACCTGCCGAGAGAGCAGCAGCGTTTAAAATTGAAACGCAGCTTGTGCTTCCGTCACTTTGGCTCCACGCGCGGCAGCTCCGGTGAGAACACCAGCTTTACTCCGGGAAAACAGTCGAGTTATACCCTGGGTAGTTCCTCGCTGAAGTCTGATCCCGCTATACACTCCCTGCGGGGGGAGATAAGTGTAGTGTCTCTTGCTTTTCTCCGCTGCCTCAAGCTCTTCAAGCAATTGATTGATTGATTTGGGACACCACATCACCCTGTTGATGTTATCAGACGCACCAATACGTTGGCGGCAAAATGGCCAACGGATGCGAGTTGAGCTGAAGCTACACACATTTCGGGTCAGCGATCTCGGTGGGCCAGTTCATGAGATGGGATAGGGGTTCGGGGCTGCCGGTTGAACGCGGAAGTCCACAGCCGGTTGAACTCACGAAGTTTTGCTGATGTCAGCAGACACGTAAAAATTCACCCCCCGCAAGCTCATGACCGACAATGTTACTGCTTTCATTTCGAGGCATCATCGCGAAATCAGTATCCATCCATGCACGCCTCATACAGCGGTAGAAGGTTCACCGTAGGATCAATACCCGACCCATGTTTGACCTCGAGCAGCGTCATCGCCCAAGATACCACCCCCCCCCCCCCGCTCCCATTTGGATATTTAATACTTTGGGAATGGATATGGCACATTAGTTTTTTGGATTATTTTCCTTAGCACCTTTCTTTGCCACTCCACCGTGTTTGCCAGCGGTTTCATGTTTAAGGAAGAGTGCAGGACCCTGGATTAAACTACTCGATACCGTTGCTTGATCTCATTTGAGAGTTGTGCTGTTGGGGTGTTGGAATTGTTTCGGCAGTCTCTGCAGGTCGGCATTGTTGTTGTTTTCTTAACGTTAGTACAGCCTTGAGTACCAACATCTGTAGCGGTCCAACTGACGCAGATCTGGGTATCCAGCAGATTTTCTCGACAGTCACTCATGTTAAGACGTAACACATCCCTTGGATTGGGGGCTATCTCCAGCGGGCAGTCTTTCTGTGAGTGCATGTATGATTTCTTAAGAATCTCGACGTAAAATATTATTCAACGCCTCTCTCGAATCTTCCCTTTCCGGCTGCAGACGGAAGCTGTAAGAACCGCACATGAGGATCGCCTTGCTCTCTCTTGCAGCACTCCGGTGCTCTCCCTTTAGCGCCACCGTGCAAGCTTTCGCCACGCCTGTCTCCTCCTTGAGGTAGGTACTCACCGCTCCATTACACACACAGGCGCCGGAAAACGTAGCTGGGCGCAACTATGTCCGCAATCCGTTAGATGTCTTCGCTGTGAGTAAGGCCAATGTTCTAAACAATGGCTACCTTTCAACATTCGAACAATGTCGACGGCGACTGTGTGTGTGCGGCTTGACTTGGAACGTTTTTCGGATACTCTCTTGCAGCCCCGACCTCATGGAGTATTCCCGTCTTCCGTTCCCCCCTCGTGTCTCGTGTCTATCTCTTCAATACTTTTCTCCCACCTGATCCTACGTCTTCAACGCGAAACGGTTCTGCATCTCCCGACACACCTCTCTCGCCCGATTGCCGGCTGTGGGAACGAAAAGTGCGGCGAACAGAGTTGATATCCGAAGCCTTAACGCAAGCGCGGGCATGTCCACTACTACAGCGGGACGCGGCGAGGACGTCGCCGAAATCGAGGTGCGTGACACGTATACATAGCGCCCCGCACATGCATTCGGACCGAACTGATGATGCGCGGTAGTAGAGCAACTCACAAGCTAAAGAGCAGTAGCAATGAGCCAGCGTGTGTTAGACCGGTTCGTCTTCGAGCATGTATGTTCAAACCTGCATCGTCGAACCACGCGAGCGTCAGCACGCCCGGGGCGTTTCAGGAACTCCAGTGGTACGAAAACCGTCCCGTGTGCTGTACCTCCACCACCACCACCACCACTTGGAGGGGTATGTCTCGTTCGGACAAAGCGCAGCCCTTGTCCACTTTGAGGGCGTCGGGAATCGGCACAGGCCGTCGCTTTCGTTCAGCCGATAACACCACGCAACTTACGACGAATCGATTGCGTAGACGGCACGAAGCTCCTCAACCGCACAATCGCACTCTCATCGCCATCAGGTTCGGCTATCCGGCAACCGTCGAAACGTAGCATCTCAGCCCACGTGTCACAAGCAACACGGAGGGCTAGAGCAGTTGACGGCTGCTCTCCACTTCACCGCACGCCTCTCTTCAAACCCTTCCATTTTTGCTCAATGCCGTACCGCACAAACGAACAAAAATCCGACAGATCATGTACTGCGGAGGATGAGGCTACGTGCGGTTTTACAACCGCCTGACGCCCCAGCTGGAGGCGGTGTTCGGCGACCGCATCAGCTTCATCCAGACCGAGGACCCCGGGGTCACCGGGCGCTTCGAGGTGGTGCTGCGCAACACCGGGGAGCTGCTGCACAGCAAGAAGACCCGCGGCCAGGGCCGCTGCGAGGACCCCCGCGAGGTGCAGGCCCTGGTCGACCAAATCCAGAAGTTCTTGGACTCTTCGTAGACCAATCAGATCGTCGATGAAGGCCCGGGGACCGTTCCTTGACGTGGTTGACTGTTCCTAGACCGTTGCTCTGGACTACTGCAAATATTGAGGGTCGCACGCGGGAAAGCTAGGGGTGTACGGGGGTATTGTAGAGCTGCGCACGATAGCCCTACCGGGAGTTGTCTGTGTGATGGCGGTGGGGTTGGGTGTGGACTTGGTGCATTTTCGCTCTGCTCTGCGTGCACACGCGAGGCACACCGTGTCACACGACCATCAGGCAGGGTCGCGCAACGACAGATGAGCCAGCAACTCTCTCTTTGTTTCCGTGCGCTTCCCCTCTCTTGGCTATTTCCAGCCGTTCCGCCTTGCGCCGCGGCCAATGTCGGCTTGCCGAGGCGAGCAGTAGTGGATTCGAAGTTGCAGAGCTTCGGCGAGTGATCAAGCGGCGTACGTGGCGATTGTTGGTCTTTGGGATCGGGTCGGGGCTGCTGGCGGTACGAAGGGGGGAGACGATAAACTTGACATGTTGGGGGAAAGCTAGGCGAGGGAATGACGGATCCAGCGAAAACGGAGTTTGATTCCGTCGCTTGGGTCTCGAGATACTCGTCGCTTGACCTCTTTGTTGCCCAGTGTTGTCTCCCTCCTTCTTGCTGGTCAAGGTGTAAATTGTTGCGTTGAGAGAGATGCGCTCGGTGAGAGTGCACCTATCGTTTTTCGCACATCGGGGTGGTTGATTTGCCCGTTTAGATGCGTACTGTACGAAAATTGTGTGTTGTTTTGTTGACGGTACGGACAGTGACGAACAGCCAGCACGTGGCTGACGCCGTAGCTCGTCGATCACGACGAATCTCGTGCGGTCGGTGAGGCCCTTCTTGTTATTGTTGTTCGCCTCGCGTTTCTACAAGAACAAGAGAAGCAACACTATTGCTGTGCGTTACGCAAGATGAATCATATTCTTCTGTGCTGCAGAAAGCAGCATGGCTGTTATCTTCGACTGAACATGGCCTGTAGCATTGCCGCAGATCCGCAGATGAGCAAAGGGGGATATCACGTGGCCGTTTATTTCCTGCAGCACTCGTGGCACGCCGTGAACATTTGCCGGGGAATCTCTTTGCTCAATGCAGCCTGTTCTCATCTTAGGTGGATTCGGGTTTCCAACCAAACTCCACGGTGAACAGAGAAAATCAGCGACGGCGAGGGCTGATCTGTCCTTGCAATGCTCGGACCTACAGCCAGCTCTAAATTTGGTTGGTGACGATCCTCCCGGCGATCCGGTGGACCTGCCTGTCCTTTGCTGCGTTTGTATTGTGTTGCGTCTTTCGCTCAAGCCTGCTCTCAAGTCTCTTGAGACTTGTCTCCTAATATTTGAGTTTCTGCTGGAACTAAAAGAAAACGGCTATTGGAAGTCCGAACACAGCAGCTCTACGAAGGAACCTTGACTCTCTATATTCAAGTACCCGGACCGTCCCACACCCGGGGCGGGGGTGCAAACAGACACTTGACAAAATGTCATAGGGACGGAAACCCAGAGGCCTGCGCTCGGGTCCAATCAGTGAGCCAATGCAAGAAACACATCCTCCATCGTACGGTCGTAAGTACGCAAACGTCATACGTCGTGGCGGTTTTGTATGAACTGGTGTGCGCCTCCGGTTAATTCTGACGTTGCTTCGTTGTTGTCAACGGGCGAGTGATACATGTCTGTTGTAGTCAACCCCTCCAGAAAGTCCGGTCGTCAGTAGGAAAGAAGTGGGGAATGTAGAAGAAGTGAACACACGCCCGTCGGGTTGTTTACGACGCCGCCTTGTTATCTGGATTGGAGGAGGCCGGTGGTTGCTATCGTCTTCTTTCTTCCTACACGTTGCGTCTCGTTTAAAAACGAATAGGATTTACTACTCTGCAACGACTGCCTGGAACACAAGTCGGTTATATAAACTTTGCTGCATACACCGTCAATCAACATCCCTCGGGCGAGGTTTCCGCGGGAAGTCCGAAAACTCGACACCCGGTTGCGGCGGTACAATTGTCCATACATCATAATGTCTCTCTATGGAGAGTGAGACCGAGACAGACGCTCTCCTCGTCCTCTGCGGAGAGGAAGAGCGAGCGGGGTTTCCGCGTGTGTGTGTCCGCTGCTGTTGCTGCTGCTCCTGTTCGTGATACGTCGGACTACCTCACGCCATGATCCGCACGAACAAATGTTCTCTCCCTTCCCGTGGCCAAGCCCCTAGTCACCCTAATATATTGCTCTCTTGCCTTCACCCAAAAATATAATGACTTGAGATGAGGCCGGGGCTATCCTGGGCTATAATAAATGAAAGCACGAGCTAGTAGTGTGACAAAATTTAAGAGCCCCGATGAACGCCCAAAGCAAGACGAAATCCCCCGACAAGCACCGGCACGGATGGCCAAGCCTTCCACCCAAACTTCGTGCTTTAAGACAGGACACCAAGCAAGGGGAAGAATTATCGCAAAATACCACACAATTTAGATTCAGCTAAGCAATACATTTCGTAAATCGCGAGGATGCGTTCATCCAATCACCTCGACAGCGCTTTTTTTCAGCGGAATACACCGTCAGAGATCCCCCCAAAATTAACCAATTAGTCTACAGCTCCCGATCTCGGCACTCTGCACCCCGCGGCACGTCGGCAAAAAGCGACCACAATCTCTATGAAACCACAGAACGAATTTCAAGCTTCTCAGCAGTTTCACCATGGCACTGACGCAACACCCAGCGGGTAATTTGTTGGGGATAATCGATCGAAGCCCACAAGCAACATATGAATAAGGCAACCCAAACACAACACAACACGTTGTGCCTACTGCACTAGCGTGTGTAAGACTACGTGTGGTTCCCCCGCAAGCTGAAAGGGTCGCAACGCGAACGGCAATTTTCATTCTTCAAGGCTTACAACAATTCAGCTGGCTTTTCGTGCTCAACGCTCAATGGACTATCGTAAACGATTATGTGGATGACCAATCGCAAGCGCAACTTAGTTAACGACCCTCTCAAAGATGCCCACACATTCTTTTCTCGTGGGCCTGCCCGCCTATTTGGTGGGACGCGTTTCCTCCCGAAGAGAATATTTACAATTAGGTGAACGCTGAGCACTACTGGTGTCATTCGTATCGTCGTCAAATGCGGAGATGAATACATAAGAGTGGGGGTAGGTGTGGGGGTAAAATTCGTCACCTTAAAGAAACCAAATATCGAAATCGCGTGGAACTCGACACTGTCCCGTCATCAAGCCTTTATCTCGTTGGCGGGCTCCTCGTGACTGTCGACGAAAAACGACCCGGGCCTTCCGCGCGGAAAGCGGAGCAACTTGTGCGCGGGCGGCGAAATAGCAGCAACATCCTGACCCTCTTTACGCCTTGGTGCACCTGCTCCCTCTGGCGCCACTCTCGAAAACGCGAGCGTTTGGTGGACCTTGTGCCTGCTGCTGGTTGGAGAAGTTGCGCTACCGGCTGGGCTGACCGCGTCGACTTCATCGGTGTACCCGGTTGAGGCGGAGGGCGGAAGGCATACCAGCGGCGACCTGGTTGGGTCATACGATTCCAGCAGCGGGAGCGTCAGGCCCCCCAGCCGCGTGGGTGGCAGAGATTCTATCCCGTCGCCCACCAATCGAGGGGGTACGTTTTCCGCGTTTGGGATCGGTGGTCGCGGTGACAGTTTTCTGGTAGGATCATCCGACGAGTTGTCCATGCCTTCCTGTACCGTGTCAACCGCCATGCCGTCAGCTTCGGAGGGCGAAACGAAAGAGGGTGCACCTGGGCATGTTCACGGCATGGGGCAAAGATGAAATGCCGGGTGTGCAGATATGTTGACAGGGTTTGTCGGTGCTTAGGGTCGGAGAAAAGCCAAGTGCTGCGTGTATGCCTCTTCAGTACCCCGTTATTACTCGAGCGCTTCGGTATCAGAACGGATTGATGGTGTGCCAAAGAAGGTCTATGCGATAAGGAGTGAATACCCCGGGCTTTCGAGTGGTAGCCTAGGGCCCAAGTGGTCGCAGAAGAATGCATTTGCCTTTCCTCGTTGCTGCTGCAGCTCGAAAAACTTACCTTCCTCTTGTTGTGACGGCTTGGCCTCATCTTCTTCCAGCTGAGGCTCGGCCTCGACGGTACGGGAGCCCAAGGTCTCTCGCGGAGCTAATGGCATGGCTGGCTCGCGTCCGCGAGATCCCCTCGACCGTCCGTCCTCCGCTGTGCAAACAAGGCGAGTTACCGGCGGCAGGACGTTGTACGATGCGAAAGTACCGTTCGGCATTAAATTACTCACCCAGTCAAGGTTGTGCATTCTCAAGTTGAAATAACCTGATACAGTACCAGTTTGTAGGTCTTGGCACGTTCCGTCTGCCATACCATCATCAGTTTTTGTGTTGCATGGGCGTCTAGTAGACGGCATCTATCTTCCCTCACCAAAAGGTTTCGCTGACCGGGTAATACCTTCTGGGGGAATTGACAAAAATGGAGTATACCCCGAGTAATTAGGCACAAAACGGGGTGTGTTTTTCTTCGGTTTGGGGTGGAGCGCCTGATGCCGGGTGGGCTTCGGTTTGGGGTGGAACGCCTGATGCCGGGTGGGCGCCTTCAAACCGCCTTCTAGTGCTTCAGCCGCATGCGCCAGGTCCTCAGGAAAGACGCCCAACGTTTCGTTTTTTTTCACCCACGGGAACAGGGTCATCTAGGGCCTGGAAGAGGGGAGCTTGTTGGAGGAACCCATTTTGTTCACGAAACCGCGGGGTACAACCCCCTGTCTGGTAAAGTTTGTCTATACCTTGCTATAACCCCATGTTCTTCACCAGCATACCCCATAATGTCGTCACAGCTATGGTGGTCTGCGGTGCAGTACGCTGGTGTTGTGGTCTGCGGCGCGACAGCAGAAAGAGGATACGGAGATATGGTGGTCTGCGGTGCAACGCGCAGATTTTGTTGCTGCGGCGCGACAAGGAGACACAAGATGTAGAGGTTGGTGGTCTGCCGTTAGTTGCCATTTTGGCGGTCCGCAGGAGCGTCACTCCAGAACAAGAAGCGGCATGCCTTCAACATTTTGGGGTACGATTGTGAACAAAATAGGATACAGGAGGGCGTAACCTGTGGTCTCGTGATCAACATGGGGTTCTCCAACAAGCTCCTCTCTTCCAGGCCCTACATAGTTAACCCTGTTCCTGTGGGTGGAAAAAAACAGTTGGGTGCCCTTCCTAAGGACCTGGCGCATGCCGCTGCTATCGCTAGAACGCGGTTTAATGGCGCCCACCTGGCGTCAGGCGTTGCGCCCCACACCAAAACAACATATCTCAATTTGTGCCTCAACACCCGGGGTATACACCATTTGTCAATTCTCCTACACATGTGTGGTTCGCAAGGTAAGAGCTTGAAACATCGTGGATAAAAATGAGGTTTGCCGACACAGCAGGTGCGGTACACGTATGGCATTATTTTTCGACATCTACTTGTTGGCGTTGCTGTCACTGCAACCATCGCCATCGCTGCGGGGGATACTTTGTATTTCGCAAAGTGTTTTGGGGAAGAGTTATGTTTCAACGGCCACAAGCTAGCCAAAGAAAGTAGTATACGTTTAATAATTCAACTGTGGTGCCTTATTAACGGGTTTGGGGAGAACATGCGATTAATCTTACGTTCCATGGGCCTCATTTTTCGCAGCCCAAATGATTTTCCTATGTTGACGGTTTTGGATTGACTCACTTAGGATAGCTGGTTTGGACGAAACACGTCATTGCAGTCGATCTTGCTGGTGTTTTCCGAGTCATCGACCAAAAGATAATAGCTCTGCAACGATTGGTGCAATTTGCCACCGACAAGTTTTTTCGGCAACCTCTCTGAATTGAGGCAACAGCAGTTTGAATTCTATACCTCACGAGACGATACGAAGCACGGGAATTGGGGTGGACGAGAGCCGACAACTGAAGCAACAGCATTGGCAACGCTTCCCCGCACACGCTGTGTGTACGGTGCGCCTTATGTGTGTGGTGGTTGATAGAGACCGGGAGGCGGCTAGACCCCTAGAAATCGACCACGAGAATGCACGAAAAAGGTACCCAAACCGCGGCTTCGTCCAGCTCTCTGGGCTCGGTTGTCGCACACATCGAGTTGGCACCTAACGCGTCCGGGCGATTGAAAATTAAAGGCGGTGCCCATGCTGCCCACCATGAGCCATAGCCATAGATTACCGTTCGTCGTGTGGCTACCATCAGTGGATACGGAGACCAATCGTCCAGAGATTCAAGCGTGTTTTGGTGGCGCTCTCAATGTGGGACGTAGAAGAGACAGTGAACTGATCGCAAGAGGACGACTGCTGTTTTGGACCACAGCCCCACCCTGGACCAAGACTTGATCAAAAAGAACGGCAAGGGGGTTTTCAAAAGACTTGCCCTTTTCTTGGGGAAGGCCCAAAACGTACTTTTTGGACAACGTAAGGAGCGTTTTTGTAAGTGAGGTTTCTTTTTTCGCGCAATAAAAAGACAAGATAAAAGGAACGCGAAGAACGTTAATAATAGGCTCATTGATCAGCGAAAGTCCTGAAGTGGTAGCAGCCATCGTGTCCAGGACGTAGCAATATCGTACAATCACAAATCTTGCCATACATACATGTAGATCTACATTTTGTACAATCACAAATCTTCCCATACATACATGTAGATCCACATTTTCTGACACCAATCAATACCTTTCGGTGATGTTTCGCGTATCAGCTGAGACCACGCAAAGAGCGTTCTCATTTCCTATATCTTGGCTCCTGTGCTGCTTGCATAAATTATTATCGGGAGACTCAAGCCGTCCCTTTCCCCCGTCGACATTGCGGTCGAAGTGTGTACCATACTCGTTTTCCCGCCGAACACAGCTACGTTTTGTTTTCTCTCCAGAGAGAGGTTTGACTCATGACCTGCTGTGGTAGGCTTATGAGGTTGCCCACAAGACCACCGGGAGAGGTCAAGCGCTTCGCTGTGTGTATTCGACCCCTTTGCTCCATCTCCGAAACGCCGGGTGCTACTTGTGCGCACGAGAACCATTATTAGCAATCCCGACTGAACTATCCTCGCACTACTTTGACACCGGGGTGTGTTTGTCGTCGATGGTTTTCCACTGGCCCGGCCAAACTAGTTATCTTCTCTTCTCTTCACGAACAGACATACATCTACAGCACAGACTGCTAGTACTTTTAAGCGGAGATGCAGATGTGTGTGCGTCATAATGAGCCACGGAGCGCGAAGCGCGACCGTTCTTTTCCCTCCGTCCGAGGAGGGAAAAAACAGGCCCTATCTACCAGAGGCCCAAGTTTCAATAAACGACCGCCTGAATTTTCCATCCTTTTCGACCAGCACGAGGCCCATAAGAGCACTGATTGACGACCTGCTGGCTTGTGAGGAACAAGAAAAATAGGGCGCTCTTCACCACACCGGTTTGGTTGTGCTCCGACAGCAGATGGCCGTCATCTGTACCCAAAAACCATAGGAGATTTTCACCCCGACCCCCGCGGAGTTGTAGAGAAATGCAAGCCAAGGCATCGTAGATCTCCCACCCAACAGACACACGCGGTTGCTTGGTTCACACCAGGAGAAACAGAGGAAGCACTCAGCGAAACACGCAACACCGCCTGGATTGGCAAGACAGCACTGGCGGGGGAAGGGAGCCATACGCAGAGCTAGTGGCGGATGTCATTGTCATTGCTGTTGCTTAGGTGTGTGGAGGGTAATCATCAGCAAAACCCAACCTTCGCCAGACAGAGCGGGAAAAACATACGACTGATCCCAGCAGACGCGGCAGGTGTTTTTTCGGGCTGTCCCTCCCACACCCTCGCGCTCGCAGTTTCTGGGCGTCCTAGATCCTCCTGGTTTGTATCAATCGCTACACAAAACGGAGCATGGACACAGCTCGTGGCGGATACATTTGTTAGTGCTGTTGCTTAGGTGTGCGGGGAGGGTTCACCTCCGATATGGAACGCACGTGTGCATATGCGTATGGCACACCGGTCTACTGCTGTACCGTCGGGGACATACGATACCACACCCCCTGTATCGATACTTCTCAGCTCGATTATTCCACGACGAACAGGATGCGTAAACCCAGCGAGACGTTGTCGGAAAGCTCTTGACGAGACGGTTCCCACGCCACCGTTTTCGGCACCGCCACTCTTTGTGGTGTGGAGCAACCGAGCTTTGGAAGTTGGTTCAGGGTGTGGTATCTTGTGTCATCTACGGAGAGACTACTGCTGTGGCGCACGAATCCCAACGGCCGTCCGTGCGTTTGCAGAGGAAGAGCCTCTTTTTTATGTTGTTGTTGATGATGACTCGGATGCAATATTCAACGGTCGGGTGCACTCGCCACCGCAAAAAGCATTGCAGATAGACTACTGCAAGGTATTGAGTCGGCTAGCCCGCGGCTCATTACCCCGCCCTATGCACAGCAGTGTAGTCAACGTAATTCTGCTATTCTGCGATAGTAGTCAGGGTGAACGATCGTCTGAGGGTACGTGACGTTCACAGCCGAAAGTACATACGATCGCCATCATTTTCTCAAGGACCAAGCAAACATACTCTGGAGAGTCAATCATCTGTATCCGATTTTGGTCATCTTCAACTTGTGTGATTTTTCTTCCGACGAACAGCTGTAGTCCAATCCTATTGTATCAACCCGGCAAAACCTGACGTGCTGTGTTTCGAACGGCACCCTTGGTTGGAGTGCATACCTGTGAGCAAATCAGCTTATGCGCCCGGATAACGACTACGCTCTCTTCTCTCGCCCCAACACCAAGCCGCCCTTGCCGTCGAGAAGAACAATGCAATGTGCACTGCAAGTTCCAGCAGTGCGCCGGGGTAATCTTCGTGCTCAGTAAATCTGTATATTGGACTGACACACCGTTTCCCTCAAATTTCTTTCGGTTTGGCATTCGCCAGCTCGCAGCAGCAGCAGCAGCAGCAGCAGCAGCAGCAAGCAGATGACTTGTGCTGTGCAGGAGGAGTTCGGTACATCACGAAGGAGGCGGTTGTTCCGACACGCACTCTCTGAATGATGCACCCGTGGTACGCTCCCCGCCCCGGGCCGCTTCTGGTACGCTGCTCGGCGTCGTTCTCTGGCGTCTGGATCTGTCTGTTTTGCCCTCTGCTGTGTGCTGCGACCGCCGTTGTGGACGACCGATCGCCCCGAAGAGCAACATGAACACCATCTCGAACCTTTTTCGCGTTTTTTTTTTTTTCTCGGCACCCCTTCTCTCTAAATAATACGAAAATTGGCCGTTTGCGATTTTGCAAAAAAAAATTCACGTCGGCGCGCAACAACCTGGGGGGTGCCCTTCATCTCTCCCCGTCTCGTCGAGCACTGGTATCCACAAATCGCCAGCAGTTGAATCTTCAGCATCAGGTCGAGGTTATAGCAGGCCGCTTGGGGCTAGAGGCAAGAGAGAGAGAGAGAGAGCGAGAGAAAGAAAGAGAGAGAGAGAGAGAGGAGCATGGCGGACAAACGTCGAAGCGCGGGGTCACCAACAGGAGGAGGAAGGGAGGAGGAGATGGTAGGGTGCTCACCGGCCTCGCTGAGCTCACCCATGTCCGGCGGTGGTGGCGGCAGCGGCGGCAGGGCAAGCAGTGGCGGCGCGTTCGAGCCGAACTATTCGCTGGATAAGTTCATGGAGTCCCTTGGCACCTTTTCCCCAGACGGCCAGCCGTTGCACCTCGACAAACGGCAGGTTAGCTTGTGTGCCTCTTGCGCTGCCTGTGGGTCGTCAGCTGTTTGTTGCTAGAAAAAAAGGGTTCGTATGTTGTCCCCATGACGGTGCGGCTCCTCCCTGTGCGCTGCTCCCTGGGTCTGGAGAAACCTTGACCCCACAGCAACGTCCGGGTAGACACGGGTTGCTAGTTTCGCAAGCGGCACTCTTCTTTCCGTACCGCCTCGTTGGACCTTTTTGTGGCGAAAACTTCTGCCTGCCTTCCCCGTTGTGTCCGCCGCCATTTTTCAAATTGCCGTTAACGCACGCGCACAAAAGTGCCATGGCCGGGCTTTGGCGGACGAGCCTCTCACTTTCCCGACGCATATCAGCCCCACACCACACCTCCAGTTCAGCGGTTGCATTGCCAGTTGGGGGTAGTTTGCCGGTCGCGTGCTCACACCACCTCTTCGAAACGCAGCTATGTGTACATAGCAAGTCGCCTAACTTGTGTTCTTCTTTCGCGTTTTCTGTCTTCCAAGTGACTCTCTCCCTTGTGCTCTCTTGGTACACACACGGCAGCAGCGGTGTAGCACGACCCTCTCTTGCGCACAGCAGACAATGGTCGTCGGTTACTTGCTGAGCCTTACTGCTTGTAGCGAGACAGGCGCTCGTGCTACAGCAAAGTATGTCACCATCTCAGCCGCTTTCTCGTCGACTCTTGGAGTTGCACCAGGCTGTTTTTGCCCCTGTACAGCAGTAGTACCGAGATAGATGCGGCATTGGGAAACATTTCCGTACTTCTCTTTGACGAAGTTTCAGCAGTCAGGAGTAGGGCAATACCCTACGCAGTGGGTTCTTCAAGTCCCCACTGGCGAACGGATTGTCTGAAAGGCCCTATGCAGTCTGCCAAAGCCAGAATTTTGTTTTTTTCCGCCGCTATAGCATACGTAAAAGACTGTTGCTTCATCAAGGGTCGGTCGGCGGCAACCTTCAGCAAGTGCTGTCCTTGCGCACACATCCTCGGATGTTTGATGCTTGCGGAGGGGGTTCTTGCGGTGTCTCCGTTTGTTCGCCGTGTGCATCTAGGTGTAAACGTAGTCGTTGAACTCTTTGAACGCGTTTTGCTGTTGCACCACTGGCACAAACTGCTGCGCTACTGTTGCAGACTGCTGCTGCTGTTGAACTGCTGAAAGTCCTGTTCGAATGTCGTTCACAGCAGCGCACAGCAGTCCGGCGTACATCAAACAGGTCGTGTTGCTTCTCAACAGACGTCTTTCCTTCCGGGGAGATACTTTTCAAGAATTGCCGCACGCACAGGCAGCAGCATCACTTCGTAATCCCACAAAGAATGTTCATTGATCTTGGCCCACGCGCAAATCGGTTGCCACTGCTGCAGAGTCTCGAGAGCAACAGCAGCATGACCCCCTTCGGAGGATCAACGGCTCGGCGGAGCAGCAACGGCAGCTACGCCGGCGGCGCTACCGCTCCCGGGAGCTGCGCCCGCGCGACACCGAACCTCCGACTTCGCCGCAGCAGCGCGGGCGGCGACAGTAGCGTGAGCCGCATGAGCATCGGTTCCGGGAACGGCGCGTCGGAGGACGGCAGAAGCAACAACCACAGCGGCAGCAGTACCGCCGCCGTTTCGTCGACGACCGCGAGTTTGTCGAACGCCTCTTCGACGGGCCTGAAGACTCCTCGTTCGAGCGCCCGGCACGGCCACTTCACTCGGGTCCGTAGGAACTCCCCCGTGAAGCTGGACCCGTCATCGTCTCCGGCAAGAGCGGGCTCCGGCAGGGGGCGGGCAGAGGCGGCGAGCGGGTCCAGGTCTCCTAAGTAAGTCGGCTTGTTTGTTAGGTGGGGGTGGGGGGGGGGGGTACGTTGTTGTTTTCTTCGACTCATTCTACCGCGTTTTTTTCCTATGCGCTTGGCTTCGTTCGTCGTTCACGAGCCGGCGCAATTGGATTGACCAACGGAATGTATTAGATAATGTAGCCTGTCGACGGAACGTGTTACGGTTTCTTGTGGATAGAGATGCATGTATGATATGTGGGTTTGTTTTTTGATGGTTCGGCCGGTTGCGTGGTGAACGGTAGTTTTTGAGGAGCGCACGCCGAAAGGGGTCGGCCATCTTCGCTTATTTGTCCCGCTGCATGTAGTGCATGACTGACGTATTTTCATTGCTCAGCGGGTCGCATAGAGCGGGCCACTCCAATTTAACAAGCACACACACACCAAACGAACTCGAGTGCAACGTATGCATAGCAGTCTTCGTAGACGTGTGCAGTTTTCTTCTGCTAATTGTACCGTTTTCTTTGATCAGGAGAATAGATTAGTCTCCCCCGTGCCGCCCCCTGACGCGGTCCCACTTAATGGCATTTTGAAGTGTTTTGTCTTTTCAACCGCACTGAGACTGACGGCTTTTCATTGGTCAGCCGGTTAGCGCGGTCGATGCTAATATTAAAAAAAAAACGCACACATGTCCTTTATGAGCATTTTGTTGTTTCAACTGCACTGAGACTAACGTCTTTTCATTGGTCGGCCACCTAGCGCATGCCAACAACAAAAACACACACATACACGCGCGCACACACAAAGCAGGAGAAAGCGCAACTACTCGCAGCTGGCGACTTTCGGAGACGAGAACGGAGCCCCGTCCCCGTTCCCCAGCGACGGCGGTCCCAAGAACGCTTCCAGAGTGTTGTCGAACTCCAGACTCACCGTGCACAAGGACGGGGCGTATATGCAGGTAGGTCTGTTGTGCCTGCCGGATGCCGCGCGGCGGAAAGTTGTTGTCGTTGCCATGAGATTTCCTTGTGGGATGCATTTGTTCTTGACGGGACTGATGGTGGTGCTGGTGCTGGTGCTGCTGTTCTTGTTGCTGGTGCTGGTGCTGCTGTCGATTTGGCACGGCATATGCCCACGATGTCGAGCTGTAGAGGGTGTTGTTGTTTTTGGTGTGCTTGATCTTGCCCTTGGCATGAACGGGCTCCGGTAACGAGAGGGGGGCGAGGAGACAGGGCGGGTCCGGCTCTTACCTTTGCGATGTGTTTGTGGCCACGACTGATGCAGTTCATGGGAAGTCCTTGTCGACTTGGGTATTGAATCTGGGGGCTTCATCCGTCCTCTCTCACTAGCCATGTCAATATACTTCACATGTAGGCTTGCTTTTCAGCTCGCTGTCTTGCTTCCACTCATGGCCCTTGTGTTCACCAATTCATGACTGCTGATGTTTTGCGGAATCGAAGTCGGAAGGCTGTATACCATGCATACCATCGTTTCCTTTTCCACCCGCATTAGAGCACGGCGTGACTTGTGTCTTTTTACCCCCGCCCTTCCGGGCCAAAGTTGTTACCGTTGTCGTTTCCTTTTCCACCGGCACTACTTCCGGGCCAAGATTGTTACCGTTGTCGTTTCCTTTTCCATCGGCATTACAGCATGGTGGGGCTTGCTACATACTTGTGTCTTGACCCGCGCCGAAATTTGTTGCCCCCACGACCTGGCTCGCTCAGGTGACGTTCGACGACACCCACCGCTTCGCCATGGAGGAGGACCCTCAGATGAACCAGCCCTTGGGGGAGTCGCTGATGAACGACCCGTTCCTCGCCACGCCGGAGCCGACGACGGGGAGCAGGAAGGACATCGACCAGGCCCTGAGCCTCTTGCAGCTGTCGGGAGGCAGCGGGTCCCAGGTGTGTGCTGGGCGTGTGGCGGGCTCTGGGTGGTTGAGAGGGTGTTTTGTTCAGCTTGCTCGGGGGGCCTTGGACGACTGCAACTACGTGTGTGGCGGGCACAGCAGTGGTTGGTAAAGGAGAGGTGTTTGGCGGAAGGTGAAGGTGTTTGTACGGGTGTGTGAATGTCTGCGTCAGCCGGCAGACGGAGAGACGCGCCGTGGTGATACTGGCGGCAGGGTCTAAGCATGCAGATGGATGAGTTGCCTTCTTGCTCTCCAAGCTCTTTTCGATTGAGAGACCGGCGGCTTTTCTTCGCTTTTCTCTTGGTGTTTCTCGAGGGTGCATTTTTGTATTCCACATCGCGAGCAGCAATGACCCGATTCCTTGTTGGTGTGTGGTGCTTCCTCTCGTACCCCCATACAGATCCGATGGAAGGTCCTGACTGGCTCATGTTCGGCATAAATAATACTGTTCCTTTTTTGCGCGGTCCATCCCATGAAAAACATCCCTCACCGCGTCGCGTCCGAGGCATCACCTGTCCCGTGGAAGTTCCTCGCCTCGTCCCGCGAAACGCCTCACCCGTCCCATGAAACCCTTCACCTCGTTCCGCCCGATGCCTTTCCCGTTCCATTAGATGCCTCATCTGTCCCGTGTCCCGTCGATGTGCCTCGTTCCGCGAAACGCCTCACGCAACACATGGGATTCCTCACCCCGTTCCGCCCGATGCCCTTCCCGTTCCCTACGATGCTTCATCTCGCCCGTTCCTGGACGCCGCAGTCGGACCTCACTCGCTCGGCACGTCGGAGCAGCGGGGCGGGCGGAGATGGAGGAGAGGGAGGGGGAGGCAAGGGGACGCCGGGACCCGCGAACCATGGCTTGTTCCCCCCTCTCAACTCGCAGGCGAGAAGAGCTTTTGTTTCGGCGGAGGCGGCGTTATTGACGACAGGCGGCAGCAGTGCAGCGGTGTTGTTGATTGTTTTCTGCCCATTTTTTTTAAGCGTGCGAGCAGCAGGGAGGGGGGGGGGGTCAATGTGGGCATGCGGGAAGCACGCTGAACTATTGCGGTGAAAGAGTCGAGATATCGGATTGCTTATGCGTGTGGACACCTGGAAAACGAAAAAAGAAGCGGGTTGAGCTGATCGGCACCGTGGGCACCGCCGTTGCTATTTTTCCGTCCCTCGTTGTGAAGCGTGGTCTACTGGTGAGTGGTGACGGTGCGGGCGAACCCTGTTTTGCCGTCCATCCCCCGCTGGAACTCCTTATCATGCGTCCGTCCGTCCGTCGGTCCGTCCCCCGCCAAAACAGGATCTTGTGGAGAACGTGGTGCCGGCGTCGTCGTCCGGGGCCGGTGCCGCCTCTCAAGCAGGAGCTGGACCATCCTTCTCCTCAGTGACATCACCAAGAAGTGCACGCGGCGGCTGGGGCGCCAAGTCTCCCGCCGGCGTTCACGGCCACATGCTGCACCACCCTAGCTGCAGCAGCGGCGGCGGCGGCGGCGGCGCGGGCCCCTTGTCGTCGCCGTTGATGTCTTCCTCCGCGGTGCCATCGTCGGCCCTGTCCCCGCCGCCGCCGTCCCCGTTCTCGCGTGCCGCCGCCGCCGCGTCCGCCTCGTACCACAACCCGGCCGCCGCCGCGGCTGCCGCAGCCATCCGCATCCTCCCGCCCCCGCCCCCGGAAGTCGGCGGGGTGGGGAACAACAAGAAGAAAGCGGCGGGGGGAGCGGGCCGCGGTGGAGGGGTTTCTCAGGGGGGCGGCGGGAAGAGCAAGGGGGGGGGCTCCACCGCTGCTGCGGCGGGGGGGGGCAGGCAGAAGGGGAAGCCCAAGGCGAAGGGGCACGTGGGGGGCCAGCGGCCGGCGGTCCAGGCCCCCGTGTCGAAGCCGCAAGGGACCAAGGGGGGCGGCCCTGGGTCGTTTTGTAGCAAGGTGAGCTTGACAGGATTTGTCCGCCGGCGGGGGTGGGGGGGGGTGGTGGGGGTTTAGGCAGAGGCGTAAAGGTCGTTTGTAGTCACGGCGGAAAATAAATGCTGGTGGTAAAACATGGTATGGTTGTTGTGTTCTGGGCCGAAGACGTCGTTGGGGTCGTTGCGGGTTGTGTTTTCTTTTTCGGTAGCGCATACGTGCATGTGGGTGCTGCTGTGGGTGTTCATCTATTTGGGACACGCGAAGAGTGACGTCCGACAAGCTTGAACCGGGGGGACGGGGTTGTCTCCTCAGTGAATGCATTTTCCGGGATCCCCCTACGGGACCCCTGTGTTTTTACGTGCGTCAAGCCGCATTCTCAAGATCTCCGGCATCCAGTAAGTGTTTACCCTTTGTTCAGTATCAGTACATCATGAACCTACCCCCCCGCCCCCCCCCGATGTCTTTGCCATTTTTGTCCCTGCCCGACAAAAAAAAGCCCGAGGCGCTGTCGCAGCTCGATACGTCTCAGAGCGATCTGATGGTCTTGGACGCTGATCTGTGGATCGTGCGTGAGCGCGGAGAGCACTGCTCTTCGAACGAATGCATTTACAAGGTCTGTAAAGGTGTCGTGTGCCTTGTTTTTGGGGTAAGTGGGCCGCGAATAGAAGCGAGCGATTGGACAGGGAGGCTCGAGGTTTCGCATATGTCCAGTGAAGGCGATGATTGTCAACTTGGAGTGTGCGTCTCTAGTCATGTATCCCACCTTGAAATCTATGGTACCTGCCTCGCCTGCTTCGTGTAAATTAGAGATGTTCCCCGCGTTCGGCGGGAGGTACCGCACACCTCCTTCGGTCCAGCTGTACAATATCCCCTCGATCGCCCTTCTTGGCTGGAGCTTTTGTCGTTGTCTGGATACCAGTTTGTTTGGAACCACTCCCCGCTGCTGCTGCTGCTGCTGCTGCTGCTGCTGCTGCTGCTGTGTGTTGTAGCTGTCAGATCTTCGTCTGTGTCAACTCGTTGTTGTTGTTGTTATTTTTGGTGATGTTTTCAGGACAAGACGACCGGGATTTCGAGCAGGCGGCATTACCACGCGACGTGCGACCACCGGCACAAGGGGGGTCCCAAGGGGGGCATGATCTTCCACCACCACCAGCTGGAGAAGATTCAGAAGCACCAGCGGGCGCACATCCGCACCTTGCACAAGAAGACACCAGGTAGAGAGAGAGAACGCCTAGCTTTCTTTCCCTTGGCCGTTGCTACGCGTGAGGATGGGGGATAATTTTTTCAACAGTTCTTGTCTTTGGTCTTTCTTCTGTGCATCCCTGGTTTGCCACCTCCTTAGACGACGTTGGCAAGGTTACCGCGTGCCTCGCGAAGCACCCCACAAAGAGTTCAGATCGAGTAGGAGGTGGCGGTGTTATGTGTATGTTTCGCCGGCGTGACGTGGTTGGCATCTTTTTTTGGTATTCGGTTTTTCATTCTGGCGTCGCAGAGGGGATGGTAGCAACGAGCTATGACGCTCATTCGAAGCCTGTACTGCTGCAGCTGCCCCCCTTTTCAGAACCTCGAAATGTTTTTCTCCGTCTCACGCGGTCAAGGTGTCGGGCGTTTTTTGGAGGGCGGAGGGGGCAGCGCTGACCCTTTGCCAAACGCGAGTGGTTGCGAACGCTGATTGCCAACGACGGCGTAGGCCAGCGGACGCCATTTGCCGAACCCGTCTCGCACGAACAATTTCCCCCTCACGTTTCTCTGGATGACACCTGCTTGCACAACGCGCGCGCGCACGCACAAGTAAATACTCGTTACGAAAACACCGCGTACGTGTAAATTTACCGCTGTACCGCCGCAGCCAAGGTACACACATGTAAATACACGTCATTTAACACCGCGTACATGTGATTCTACCGGCCACTGCTGAACGGCAGCCGAGGCGGTGCTGAACGAGGGCAACGTGGAGCCGTACCTACCGCAGGAGTGGACGGAGCAGGAAGCGAGCGTTCTGGCCCACCTGGTGGGCATGTACGGCCCGACCAACTGGGGTATCATCTCGGCCGGGGTGGCCACCAAGACGGAGACCCAGGTAAGGGGGGGACGATGTATGGGAGTCATGTTGGGGTTGCCACCAAGATCGAGACCCAGGTAACGGGGGACGATGGATGGGAAGTTTGGAGGCGGGCAGCTTGTTATCAGAAGCTAAGAGGAGAAGGTTGATCCAAGACCTTGACCCCAAGACCTTGACACCATTAACGAGTGCGCCGGGCATGCTCGCCCATGCACAACAGAAGGGGGGACCGCCCCTCTACCAACACGTACCACCACCAATGATACACGAAAGATCTCCGTAGATCAGTAACGAGTGCTGAGTATCCCCCCCCCACAGTACGTGGGCTGGTTGCATGGGGAATTAGAGTGCAGCGGTACGTTGCCAGACACGTGAACTGGGAGTGTTGACGATGTTTGTGTGTTCTCTTCTAGAAACGCTGCTTGGGCAGGGCGGGGTTTGGGGTGGTGGTGGGAATGGGAGTTCGTGTGGGAGCAAGATTAGGCACAGAGAGGTTATTATTCTTGTTCGCGAAGAGGGGTAGGGTAGGCAGACGTCGGGGGGAAGGCCAGGGCAAGTTAGAAGGAGGGTGTGGCGGTGTGACCACGTGATTTATGAGCAACAGGGAGACCCAGTTGACAAGGGGATGGGGTTAACACCGTCTAGGGGCGTGTGTTGCGTAGCCAACCAAGCGTACGCAGAGTAGTGCATAGTGGGGCACCGTGGCGAAGGGGCTATTCGACGCCGCCTTGGGGGGGAGGGAAAGGGAGGTTGTTCCGACATGACGGATTCCCTATGGCCTGTCTCTTTAGCGCTCCCTTGTTCTGCTATTTCCAACAGTCGACCCACCAGACATAAAAGCAGCAACACCAGTACCGCCGTACCTCGACCTTTCTCCATATCCCGTTCATCACACAAGAACACACACACGATTTTTTACAAGAACGCAACGTGTTCGTCTCGCCGCCTCGTGCATCACGACGCTACACGGCAGTGCATGCTCCACTGGAGATTCGCTCTCAACGGGAACGCTACCGTCAAGGGCACGGGCACGTGGCAGTCGGTGGAGGACGAGAGGATGCTGTCCTTGGTGCAGGTGATTTTCATTGAATTCGAGACTGCTCTACGAGTGGGGGGCCGTATATGACGGAGTTGAACCAAGCACGTCGGGGATTCATCAACTAATGTAGAGTGGAGGATGAGAGGATGCTGTCGTTGATGCAGGTGAATTGTGTTCGACGAGGACACGGAGGGGGCGTACTCATTTGTTGCTTGCCGTAGTCATTTGACCATTGACCACGCGTCCCTTTCGAGACGGAGCACCGTTCCTACACCTACTAGAGACACCACCAACATTTGGGAGCTCTTTACGTTTCTGCCACAAACTCCATAAAAATTTCTTGCACAACTTATCCCCGTCCTCTAGGGCCTCTTGTGCCCACCATCTATCCCCAATTATCGCGATCGTTTTTTCGCTGTTGTCTAATTTACCCAAACTTGTCCATGTCACACCCTCTCTGTCTCATTTCCTCCTCGAGATCCTCTCTTTCCTTCCTGTACAACTCACACTCCCCAACTATGTGGGGTCTACTCTCCTCCGATTTGCCACATGGACATGTGTGTCTATCCTCCTCTTCCTCTCTCCTACGGCTGGTATACCTCTTCCTCCGTTCTGGCAAGTCCAGATCGCCTACTCGAAATTGCAATTTCAGCTTTTTCGCATAGTCCATGGGGCCGTCCAAGTACTTCTTCATCCCTATCCCTTCTTTCAACTTCCCGTATATCTCCAAGTGGTCTTCGCTTCGTACCTTCTTCCGAAGGGTTGTCTCCTCCCTACTTTCTAGCATCTCCTTGACTTTCGTCTTGAACCCCCCGAACCCTTCCGTGTCCAACGTCTCCTCCTCGTCTCCTATCTCCTTCCAAACCTTCTCTACCACCTTGTCCCATCTGATTCCCTTCTTCCCTGGAGTCGCTTTTCCCCAAGCTGCCTCGTCAACCATGGCTGGTAGTCTATCGTCCGACATTCTACTTACCTTGTACTGCCACTTCAACTTCTGCATGTCTCTTTGTTTTAAGAGAGTACATTCCCAATTCTGCTCTCAATACAGTGTTGCTCGTTGTACTTGAACATCCTAGTATTTTCTTGGCCGCTGCCATCTGCACCGTTTCCAGCTGCTTGACGGCCTTTTCGTTACCTTCCCATATCTCTCCAGCATACTCTAGCTTAGGTACAATCACCTTCAAGAGAATACACCTCTTAATCCTAGTGTCTAGGTGTGGGTCCGTAAGGATCTCGTCCATCTTGCCTATCTGAGCTTTACCCTTCCCAATCAACTTCGCTATGTGTGCGTCCCATGAGCACTCCTTCGAAATCTCTACTCCCAGGTACGTATACTTGTCTACTACCGGTAGTTCTTCCTCCCCCCATTTCCATTTGAATTCTACGGGATTTTCTTATCTTCGTTACAGACCACTACTGCGCATTTTCCTACGTTCGCCGACAGTCTCCATTTTCGGGTGTATCCTACCGCCGCATCTATTTGTTCTTGCAACCCTTCTGGTGTTTCGGATACCCCCACGAAATCATCTGCAAACATCAGTCCGGACACACTCTTTCCCTCTACTTGGACTCCCTGTCTTACTGCTTCAACCGCCCTTATCAAATCGTTGATGTAAATCTTAAAAAGAGTGGGTGACATCGTACAGCCCTGTGCGACTCCTTGGAGTATATCCACGTACTTCGAAATTTCCCCATCCAACATCACCGCACTTCTTGTGCATTCTGTCATCTTTTTCAACATCCTCCACATTTTCCCCCGGATGCCGATGTCCCACATCTTTTTCCACAATCCATTGCGCCATACGGTGTCGTAGGCTTTTTGTATATCGAGGAAGAAACAGTATGTCGTACGCCGGCGTCTTTCCTACCTTGAATGATTTTACTCAACGTATATACATGGTCTACACAACTACGATCTGGTCTAAATCCAGCTTGTCCTTCGCTGATCTTTTGTTTCCCCTCCAACATGTCTCCCATTCTATTGTCTATCATCTTGCCAAACAGTTTCCCCACTGTGCTCAACAGGGTTATCCCTCTATAATTCCCCGGGTCAGCTTTATCCCCCTTTTTGAACAGGGTCACGACTACTCCTTCTCT